CTGGGCCGGGGCGCCTCGGCCGCGTTCACAAGGAGTACGTGGCCAGTACGTATTTTTTTGTAGCCGCAAGGGGGAAAGCATGGAGGCGAAAGGAAAGGCTCAAGAAGTCCTTTCAGATGGAACACTTTGATTTTAAAGGGTAGCATCTACACTTCCCGGCTTTCCAAAATTCACCACCCTCCATGCGTCACAGCTTGCAGCTAAACATGTTGGATGTTTGTTCGAGCACGATTGCCCGATGAGGTGTGGGCAGATGTGTATCATGAACTTTGGATTCAATTACTGGGGTTTCTATGATATCAAACAAAAACACACACACACATTCATATATATATATATATAATACATATATATATATATATGGAACCAGCTTGGGGGTTCTTTGAGGGTAAACAGCAAGATTGATGGCTAGGCCCAAGGAAGAGAGGCACGAGGTGCTTGCAGTCATGTGTGAAAAGGCAAGGACGGACGCCCTTGAATATCAAGGCAGTCATTCTGGGCCAGGAGTCATTTTTATCATTCCCTTTGCTTGACATTCAATGGTCGACTGGGGTTGAGGCGGTTCAGCGGCACCGGGTCGAACCTTCCGGTGAGTTTCACAACCCGCTCGCCTAGCTCAGATAGGACCGTAGAGAAAGCAGGAACTTGTGACCAACAAAGAAGGTGTCTGGGGTTGCAATCCCCCTTTAGAGAATTCCCACCAACCCATTCGGGTCTGTCTTGTCTTGAGGGAACCCCTTTGCGGTGTTTTTCTTTCTTCCTTTTTGAAGAAGCCAAGAGGACCACCGTTTTGCCATGGGGTCCGCTTCCTGTAAAAAAACGACACGGACTTAGATACTCTGACCTGAGATATTCCCCGCGCAGATTCCGCGCAAGCGGAGCCGAGCCGAGCCGAGCAGAACGCCAGGTGGTGGCCATGACCGAGACGTCCGTGCGGGTGAAGTCCGGGATGCTGTGGGGGGAGTTGATGCGGGAGCTCTGGGAGGCCTTCCTAACGCACCGCGAAGCGGCGGGTGAAAGCTCTGCTCCAGTAGAAGAGCCCTCTTCAACTGGCAATAGGGGGCGAAAACCCCCCCAAGAAGAAATAAAGCAACAATGATAATAAATAATCATAACGAAGGATCATGGGACAATCTCCTCTTGGTCAACCAGTATAACAGAAGGAACCCGACGTTCGGGAAATGGTCCCATTAAAAGGGAAATGATCCAAACCAGGACAGACCGAACGTCAGGCTCCATGTTGACTGGTGGGAGGGTAATTCGTATCTCTGCAGGCAACCCTCTTCGGCTAGTTGGTTCGATTGGGGAACGAGTTAGGACTATTCTCTGAGAGCCAGCAAAGGGGTTTTCCGGCCCGTCCCTTGGATGGTTTTGAGGGCTTGGAATTCTAGCTTAAAGGTTTCGGAGTCCTTGGGTCAAGCTTGCCCGACCCCAAAAAATCTCACTTGAAATCGGAAAGCAGACATTTTCCATTTGGGGTCCGAAGCTTAGTTGAAATGTGTCCTGGTTGCAAGGCGCTAGGAGTCAGGTGGCCTGGGCCTTGAGCACTGAAGTTTTTCCAACTGCAAGGCTGTGTGGGTCTTGCGTTTGCTGATTTCTGGGATTCGCTCTGATAGTACGGCCTCTTTCTTTCGGGAATTTTCAGGTATGGGTGCAACCTCCATTTCAAGGGTCAATATTTGCTGTCATCTAGGGTAGTACCCGGGATGACAGCGGGCAAACTCACCAAATTACCCTTAGGACGTTGCTACCAAATACCCATGTCATAGGAGGACGCAGTGAATATTGACCTTGCATCAATCTGAACAAGGAGCATCAAATTCGAGGGGGATCTGTTCATTGCAGTTGCAGGAAGATCAGACTTGTACAGGAAGATCAATGTAGGAACGGTGGAAACTGTTTAGTACGGCAAGACCGACCCGGCCAATTTTTTTACTTAGGTCAGCAAAGAAGGGTCCATCTATGTCAAGCATGTTTTAATCATTCGAAAGACAAGGAACAAGGAGAAGAGTGAAAGGACATTTGTCCCTTTTGACAGAACTGTTTGAAAGTAATTTGCTTGCCAATGTTGAACCTAAGCAACGCGTTTGCTGTTTGAACAGGTTGAGCCTTCAACCCGCTGACCTTAAATAGTTCTTTGAACCTCAAAGCTACGTTTATTGTTCTAAATGGCAAGCCCTCCAAACATTATTCACAAGTTAGCGTTAATTGGACTGTTTGTTTGGGGGTTGAACCCGTGGTTCTTGTGGGTAAATAGGACGCTACCCCCCCAACCTCCAAACCACCAATAGGGTACCCTTTTTTTGTTGGTTGGTTGGGATTCCCAAGGGAGCCCCACCGTGTTTGGAGTCTAAGTCCCTATTTTGACACATACCCAAACGGCAAGCACTCGAAGCACGGGCCATTCTGCATAGCAACGGTCAATATTTCCTGTCATCTAGTGTATTGAACGGATGACATATGGCACACTCTCCAACGTAGTACAATTAGGAGATGGATGTACTCACCAACTTCCCTTGTCATACAAGGACAAAGTTAATATAGGACGCTACCCCCTCACCAAAGTACCACTAAGAAACAGGAGCTCCTCATCAAGTCCAAAGGCATTGATGGACATGATGAGACTCAGATTTGCGCATCGTGCGATTTAGCCGCCGATGCCAACACTCTCAAGCCAAGAAGTAAATATTCATCGGGCTCCGGTTGCCATTCTTCAGGTGAAAGCCCGCAACGCATTCTTCCATGGTTACCTTTGTTGTTTGGGATTGCCGGTTTGGTGGTTTGAAACTACTCCCTAGTTTTTCTTTCACGATTCTACTTTCAATGGAATTTACCAGTTTTTGGGTGTCGGGGTAACCCATGGCTTTTTGGTAGAGCTAATCTCCAAACACCTCCAAACGAGTCAGCAGATCTTCACGAGTCTTTTTGATACCGGAAGTCCCACTTTCTTGAGGTCCGCTCTGTGTCCAAACTCCCGAAGGCCTGCTTTAAAAAAGATAAAAAAAATAAAAACAAAAAAACAACAACATATAAATAAATAACTAAAAACACAACAACAAATACAAATCTTTTTTTCTGCGTGGTTTCCCTAATCCCAAAGGCTTCATTCCCACCATTGATTCCAGGAGAGCCCTGCCTCGTATTTTTTTCCTTTTTTTTTTTTTTTCTTTCTCGTGCTTCTGTGTGCGCATCATCATTTCCCTGGTTGGTGGTTTGGAGCCCGGTGGTTTGGTGGTTCAGGAGAGGTTTCCCAGAACTCAAGATCCAGGAACCCGCTCAAATTCAAATCCAAACCAATCCAAACCAATCCAAGCCACCAATGAGACCACATTCCATTAGAAATCCGCCCCAAACCCACCAAGCCACCAAACCACCAAACCACGAGGGTAGCTAAGTTCAGGTGAACAAGGCGCCCATGGACCGCCCGGCCTTTGACCAGATGTCCTTGGGCGCCTCCGTGCGAGTGGCGGCCCATGGCTTTCACGTGGGCGGGTGGTTCATCGACTACGTGCTGGCCGTGCAGGCGATCTCCTGGGCGTGGGGGATTTCGGGGGTGGGGTGGGTTGGGTTCCTTTTGAACTTTTGGGTTCGAAGGAAATGCCAAAAAGGGGGTAGTAGATGTTGAGGGGCGATTTTTCCGGGGCGACGTTTTTTGGGGGTTCCATTGGGATTTGGAATACCAAAAACGGGAGTATATGTTGAGAAGTTCCCTGATGTGGTGGATTTCCTTCTAGAATTTCGCGTTAGGTGAACAGGGTATCCTAAAAGACACACCCAAATGGGAATCCCTTTAAAGTGATGCGGCAGTCATGGGGACCCTACACTTATCACAACGGTAATATGTCCATGGAATGGTGAGGTGATCCTCTGTGAGAACCATGAGTTACCACGGACCGCATCCGAACGGACCTATTTGTTAGAACCGATTGTGGGGCAGGAGGTGTACGGGCAAAACCTAGCGACGAAAATCCATGATGAAGGACCTTTGCTTGGGATATCCCCCATGTCCGGTTTGGAAATGATAGTAATTTGGCCAGTCTTTTTGTTTAGCTTGCAAACGCTGATGTCGAACCCGGATCCAAGTGGAACCTCGCTGATCTGATCCCCAAGAGATTGACGCATCAAGACACACACACACACACACAAAGTCACTTGGGGTGTGTATGGGGTGGTCATGTCACCTTGCTTGAGCACAATTTACTCCCTCGTCCCTTGAAAGCACAGTTTTTGGTGGACTTGCACAAATCTTTTTTGAATTGCCACACCTATTTGGAGGATTTGTCACTATTTCCTTGAAAACCAATCTTTTTGCCCAACACCAAACCCTTTGTGGATTTGCCACTTCCCTTTGAACCCTCCCTTTGTGCTCCGTGGATTTCCTGTTTCCCCCATACCCCCCCGCCCCCCATTGTGTTCCCCTGCAAATCTGCTTTTTGGTTCATTTGCCATTGTTGTTTTCCTGCCAACACCCAACCTCATGAGTTAGTTGGAGCACCTTAATAGGGACGGGCTTCCGTGCCCTTTGATGACTTCGGTTCCAACCAAGCTTTCGGGCCAGAAGCACCTGATCCTTGAAGCCTTTCTTTTTTTGGCTTGGGGGTCCCTTGTCCCTTGCCCAACTTGGGTGCTGTTGGGGATACCGCCGGAGCTTTTTTCCTTTTCGTTTTCCGCACTCCCCACAAAGCCGCCGCCGCAGGCGGTGGAGCGGGGCACTGGGCGAGTGGCGGAGGCCAAGCGCGGGGAGGCCGACTTCTGGACGCTGTGCTTCAACGAGGCGGGGCGAAAGGAGCCGTTTGCCCCGGGCGGATTCTTCGGAGCTGGTTACCCGGTTACCCCCCTTTCTGGTCTTTTTTTTTAACAGGGAAACCAGAAGAAAAAAAGGGGAAAACACACACACATGCCCTCTTGTTGATCTCTCGTTTGAAAGGGAAGCCAAAAGGAACACCGAAGCCGTATTGGGGTATGCTGGTTTAAAGACACAGCTACCGCGGCTTTGATCCGCGGATTCCGAGAGGGGATCTCAGTTCCTTTTTTCCTTTTGTCCGACGGCTCGGGGGAGCAGGAATCAGAGGAGCGGTTTACCTTAAAGCATACCACTGCCCAGTTTTCAGAAATCACCAGAATTGCTCATGAACCCGGTTGACCGCGGTTTGGTTCGTTTTGCTGGGTGTCGGTTTTTCCTGGTGATTTGTGGCTTCGGTGTCCGGCATATTAGAACACCGGCAACCTGGACAAAGCCACCCTTAAGAGGATATTTGGGATCGGAACAACTATTTCATGTTTGAGGGTAGGCTGTGCTTCAGGATTTGAGAATACTTTCGCTGTCATCCCCAAATGTGGGTCAAGATATTGCATCGATGGAATGGGGTTTGAAAGAGGGAAGCTTCCTTGATCTTGGTTTGTGAATGTTTTTCCTTTTGGCGGATTTCTTGACCAGAAGCATGGTACATACTTTTCCAGTTCTCCTGGTTTTGCATGTGTGTGTGTGTGTGTTGCACTTGGCTATAGAGACGGGGGAACGACCGTGACTTGCTTGTTGTTTTATCTCTCCGTTGCCAAAACAAACAGACAGATCATTCTGTTTTTCGTCGCTCGAAAAGGTGTTGATTGTGACTCGTGTTGCCATTTCTCCTCCGATCCAGGGAGTCAGAACGAGTGTGTTTGAATCACATTTTTGCTGTAAACTTAGGAAATGGCCCTGAGTCCTTTTGCTATTTCCACATTCCTCCCATCTCCCAAAGAGAATGAGATCGGCCGGTGCTGGGACGACTTTTTCTCCGAAGGTTCGGTTGGGCTGGGGACATGCGGGGCTCATTTGAATTCAACCACACCAGAGAGCTCTCACACGAGTAGCTCGGATTTCTTTCTTGGCAGTCTACTGTTGGTTTGGGAAAGACATGAGGGGCAAACTTTGCGAAATCCAGGGACCCCCGTTGATCTTCCTTCCAGCATGTCTTTCAACATGCCACCCGAGAGTCCCAAATTTCCAAGCCCGCAAGGGATGGGCCCACTCCTGATTTCATGGGCTGTATACTTTTGGGAAAGGCAGGTTTTGGTGTCAAACAACAAGTTAGGTTACTTTTTCAGTCGAATCCACTGAAACTCGGAAGTGAGTTTGATGGCCCCCTCCCCCCTGCATTGGCCCCTTGCACCAGGGTGAAAGGGCACAGTTCGAATCCGTCATGTAAGTAAAGATGATTACGACACCAAGTGGCCGTGGCTTAAACAAGATGCACCAAAGTGGCAGTCTTGGTAAATGGAGCCAAAGACTAAACCTGCGGTTTGCCCTCGATAAAGCTTGAGCCACACCAAAAGGATTGGGAGCGCGGCACTTGTTTTCAGGGTCCATGAAGCTGGCTCTCTCGAGGCTTGGGTCATCACGGAGGTGGAGCTGGAGACGCAGCAGAACCGCCTGGTGAGAGCGGCTCCCCGAGAATCACCTGGGCATTGGAGGGCTGAATAAGAGCTAATGTGGGCCACCTCCTCCCTCCCTCCCACTTCAAGGGTTTGTGGAGGGGTGACGCCTTCTTTCCAAACAAAAGTTGGCTTTCAAAAGGGGGAGTGTCAAAATAGCGTCAAACATTGGGGCCATGTTGAACCTACTCATGACAGTTCACGGCCATTTCATGGGTCAGCTCAGTAGCATCCCAAATCCTACTCCCAAAATTGGGGCGGGGGGGGAGGAATGCTGTAGATGGGTTTGTCTCAAAATATAGGAACAATACAGGGACGGTTTCCCTTTGGTTTCCCTTTTCCCACCAAACGCCAATCTAGAATGTTTGCTGCCTAGTGATTGGGTACAAAGGGATTTGGAAAGTAGGGGTTTGCATGTTTTTTTGTTTGTTTGTTTGTGGGAGACCCCAAAATGGCAACAGTTACTTTTGGTTTTCTCTTTAGAACCTGAAAAAGGGGACCCCAAGAAAGGTGAGCCACCCACATCCAACTCAAAAAGGACCCTCTTGGGAGCCCTGTACACGGCCCCAGGGTCTGGGCGCATCGGTGCATGGGTTGCGATCAGGTGGAGGGCAAGTCGCAGAGTGCCAATGCCAGCACCACCCAGGAGGAGGTGGACAGATACGTCCAGGCCAGGCCCACTGTTCGCACAGCCTTTTAATCAACGGAGCTTTAGGTCCGGTTTGAAGACGAACCTTGGTCTCCCTGTAGACGGAATGTTTGCTGGCTTTCATAGAATAGGACACCGTGATGTGCACCAACCTCTTTGCCAGTTGAACTTCAGGTCCCTTTTGAATGGTGACCTGTGCGATTTCTGGACCTCGGTTTTCGGGGCTCAAGAGCTACAAGCTACAACATATTCAGGCGAAGGTTCGGGCGCGAATCGGTCCCAAACGAAAGCCTGGGACATGGCTCGACGAGCGAGAGATGTGGCCTTTCCCCTTCTCGGTGAATGCCCTAAGTCTTACAATTATATATAAGCCAACCATGATCTGCAAAACCAGGGGAAAAGATGGACAAATGAGCTGTGTTCTCTGGGGGAGACCTGGATATCTCGAGCACCAACCTTGCATGATTCAGCAGGGATCCAGACGTTTGTTTGCTTGCTTGCTTGTTTGTTTGTTTGTTTATTTGATTGCTGTTTTGTTTGCTTGTTTGTTTGTTAGTTAGTTAGTTAGTTTGTTTGTTTGTTTGTTTGTTTGTTTATTTGATTGCTAATTGGTTTGCTGATTTGTTTGCTTGTTTGTTTGTTTGTTTGCTTGTTTGTTTGTTTGTTTGTTTGCTTGCTTGCTTGTTTGTTTGTTTGTTTGTTTGTTTGTTTGTTTGTTTGATTGATTTGTCTGTTTGTTTGTTTGTTTATTTGATTGCTGATTTGTTTGCTTGTTTGTTTGTTTGTTTGCTTGTTTGTTTGTTTGTTTGCTTGTTTGTTTGTTTGCTTGCTTGCTTGATTGTTTGTTTGTTTGTTTGCTTTATGATTGTCTGTCTGTTTGTTTGTTTGTTTGTTTGTTTGTTTGTTTGTTTGTTTGTTTATTTGATTGCTGATTTGTTTGTTTGTTTGCTTGTTTGTTTGTTTGTTTGTTTGTTTGTTTGTTTGTTTATTTGATTGCTGATTTGTTTGCTTGTTTGCTTGTTTGTTTGTTTGCTTGTTTGCTTGTTTGTTTGTTTGTTTGCTTGTTTGTTTGTTTGTTTGTTTGTTTGTTTATTTGATTTTATTTGATTGCTGATTTGTTTGCTTGTTTGCTTGTTTGTTTGTTTGCTTGTTTGCTTGTTTGTTTGTTTGCTTGTTGGTTTTTGTTTTGCTCACCTGGTCATGAACTGCCAAACCTTTTGAACAGCTTCGCGATTTCGGCTTCACGGGCCCCAGGGCATGACAAGGTTTTCTACAAATTCAACATCGGATGTGTTTTAGCGTTGTTTAAGAAGCCAACATATGGGTGTTTCTGTTTTGGGGGACCCCCAAATTTGTGGTTTTCCTTTTGGCTTCCCCTTAAGCATCACAAAAAGGGGTGCCCTCAAAATTCAGACACTCCATATCGGGAGCCCTGGGTGGCTTGGCTCGAAGTCGTCTGGTGATGCCCCGGACAGTTATTTTCTTGCGGGCTCAATGTTCCGGACGCGGCGGCCAGCCATATGAGGGTGTTCGGAGGGCACCCTTTTGGAGCTGTTGCAAAGGGAAGCTGAAAGGAACAAAACACAATCTTGTGTGTGTGGGATTTCCCATTTGAAGACACACTCAACTATGTTCACCAAAGGTTCCCAATTACACATTTGTCGCATTTCTTGTTTGGGTAGTTTAAGCATCACCTTTGGTTGCCAATGTGAATTGAGTTTCGTTTTGTGGGCGTTTGTGTCATGCCCCTTAGGTTTTCCCAAGCATTTCATTCCCATGTAGCCAACTGACCAACCTTCAGCATTCCAATATTTCTTGAAGGTGGTTTCCAACAACACCTTTTGGTTGCCAGCTTATAGTTGTATGAAAGTAGGACTCGGCGCATTTGATTCGCCACAATTTTGGCCAAGGTGATCCCCTTTAATGTTGATACTGGATTAGTAAACCCGTCCTATCTATTGAGGGGGGTGTTTTCCCCTCCAGTGACGGGCACCCCCACTAAACCCAGGGACACCCCGGTATGAATGGACTGGGGTGATGAATCTGGGGTTAACATGACCCAATTTCGGCAGAGGTCATCCCCTTTACTGTCAATGTGACTGTGGGTCAAAACCAATGGGATCCCATTTTGGGGTAATTGAAATCACCACCCAGTTTAGAACCTATTTTGGTGGGGATTGGGATGTTCACGGGGGGTACGGGATTTTGGTTTTGACCCATGGCCATGTGTTCCCCCCAGTAATCCTGTGGATGGACGAAATCCTGCACCACCTAAGAAACCATGGGATGATGATTTCCTTGTAAATACCAACAAACAATGGCTTCCCATGGTTTTCCTTTGGTGCAGGGTTTTGTCCATCCACGCTTAGCTTTCCCGACCGAAAAGTTGTGGAGCTTGGAGCCCAACTCGCCGCTTCCTCAGGCAGAGGCGACGGAGTGGCGCGAGGCGCCCTTTGTGAACATGAGCATCGGGGGTACGGCCATCAATCGCAAGTGGCGCCTCGGCCTTTTTCTTTTTTCTCTCTCTCCAACAGCTGAAAGCTATGGGCCAGGTGGGCTCTGGAATGGGTGGTTTGGGGCAGATTTCATGGCTGTTGGGGATACTGCGGAGGCTTATTCAATGCCTGATCAGTCTCACACCCTGGACTTGAGTCAAGTTTCAAGACCATTTTAGCCAAAAGTTTGACGATTCCCCGAGTTGGGGCGTTTTTGTTTGGCCGGAGGAAGGCCCGCGACCCAAGCGCTGAGAGGCCCCCAATTCCAAGGTCGAAACGGGTCTTTTCGGAGGCACTTGAGGGATTGCACCAGAGGCCCTCTAAAATCACCTCCGCTCCGATGCTTCGTTTCCTTGGAGACCCCGCCTCACCGGCTTTCAGACAAGCCCATGGTGTAGACTTGGACACATACCCAAGCGAGGTACACCCTGGACCCGGTCGGGGTGGACGACAAGGACCAGAACTGCCTCTCTTATCGCCTGAGCCTCGCCTGGATCGGCGTGTCCGGCATCGACAGCCTGGGAGATGCGCAGACAATCATGCGCGCCTCGCTGGATCTGGGTTTGCGTGTGTGTGTGTGTGTGTGTGGTTTTGGGTTGGTACTCTTTGTTTTTCGATTTGTTTTTTGAGGTTGGTTTGAATATGCTGTTCCCTATTTCGACACAGTACCCATTGCTTCTTTGGTTAAGGGCCATTGACAGATTTTCCCCGTGTTTCCCTTTGTTTCCCTTTGTTTCCATGAGCGCCTTTGACCTGAACCCCCTCAAAGGCGGGGTCAAAATGCCTGGCCTCTGGTCGATTCGTTTGGACATACGGGGACTCCCTAAAACAAGTTTCAGGGCACTCTCTGAGTTTCGCATGTCCTGTATGCGAGCAACCTGAAACTGGTTCCCTTCTCAGTGGTGGAGCGTGAGAGCATACTGATACATTGATCCACTTGTGATGCGGAAACAGGGTCTTTGGTCAGGGGTCCATTCTCAGCTTCACCAACTTTTATGGAGGCCCCTTTTTGTAGAATCCTAGCTCACAACCCACTTGGAGAAGTATGGCTCTTGACCAGATGTGTGGGGTTCAATGGACCACGAGTACTGACGAAATCCTGCACCACTTCGAAACCACGAGAAACTATTGTTTGTTCCATCATCCACCGTATTGATAGGACCGTGGGACGATGCCCACATACCATACGGGCCAATGATCTCAGGGCCATGGCGCACATATCGCATACGAGCACATGGTAGCAGGCAGAACCATGACCCGTTCAATGATCTACAACCACTCAGACGAGAAAACTCTATCCAACGCCTATATATGGCCATAGGGCATAACCTATGCCTCCATGTTGGGGTATTCACCAGGGGTACAGGGTTTTGACCCACAGCCATATCTCCCCAGTTCCCCTGAAGGCGGTCCGAAAAGTGGAGCCGCTAGGCACCCTGTGGCTGGTGAGCACCACCGTGTCGCGCTGGCTGGGCACCGCCAACTTCGAGTTCTTCGTCCAGGAGCGGCTCAACTGGGACCAGGCGCGACGGGCCTAGTGGAGGTAGGCAGGCGGAACGGAGCGAAGGGAGGGGCTGTGAAGCTCCCATCTAGGAGGACCACCAAAAGACGCCTGTTCCCAAGATGGGTGCGGACCAGGGGTTCCAAAAACATCCCCTTCGGGTGGTTTGCTCAATCCCGATGCCAATCAAGATGTGCCATTCAAATTAATGGCGCGCCCCTCAAAAGTGGCTGGACATGAATCCAACCACCGCGTTTTGATGACCTTTTCAGATGAGTTTAAAGGGAAACCAAGAGGCAAGCCACCATTTTAAGGGTTCCCCTCTTTGATTTGGAAGGGGTGTTTCTTTTTTGCTCCCCTGGACACAAACCTAAAGAGGATTGCTCCCAGCCTTGATGAAAACATGACTAAGAGCCACTCAAAGCAAGGGGAACACGTCTGGTTTTAGAAAATGCTGGTGGTAAGAATGAGGAATCCACTCCTAGAATGTTGGCAGGGTACAAAGAGATCCGAATTTCTACCCAAGCTGGACGTTTCGAAGCCGAACTGAGGGCCTCCAAAATGACATGACAGATAGGGATCTCCATAAATGGGGCCGGCAGCTGAGAAGAAGCACAGGCCTGGCCGGTGTTGGAGGCTGGTCTGAGATTCCGCCTACCCCAAATGAAACGCATGTTTGGGGTTTGCCTCAATTTAAATCGTCAATTCAGGGCCATCCTGCCTGGATGTCTTCTTGTTCCCCGGGAAGCAAGAGGGACGTTTTTCGTTTTCTTTTTCGGGGAGCGACACGTGCTTTTTGCTTTTGGGAACCAACAGGAACTATTGCCCGGTTAGTCATCTTCTTCGAGAAACCAAGCAGCACCCCAAAACGCACTCAAAGCAGGTCTGCAGTTTTGTTGGATCTTTATCCTTTAGCTTTTTGGAACAGGAGTACCTTGCAACCAACAAAGAGTTCAACCTTTAGCACGGGCACAAATGCTGGCCCTAGATCACTTGTCTTTTGACCCGTCCGGGTCTCCAAAAAGTGATGCATCCCCACAAGGCGACCCCTCCCCCCCTAATAGTCAAGGGGTTTATTGTTCCGGGGTTAACTTTAGCCAACACTTCAGCTTCTTGCACTGGCAATAGCAACTTTTCGGAACAGGTGAATTTCCCCTGGAGCCAACAGCCACAACGAAAAAGCGCCAACCCTGAGCCCTTCAAAGAAGTGAACACTTTGACGGGTTCTCAAAATTACTTTTAGCCTTTTAGGGGTGTTTTTTGGCTTTAAGCGGGCATTTTAACGAGTACTTTTTTCGGATGTCACTTGAAACGACCCAGTAGCTGCTCCCCCCTTGGCAGAGGTTGCGTTGACCTTCGTGAAGTTCCACGCCACCTACGGGGGCCGCACCGACTTCCGGGAGCGCGTCCGTAACGGGAAGGCCGTGACGGCGCTGGATGCGGTGATCTACCCCAAGGCCTTCGGTGTGTCTCAATTTTCAGGGGGTTAGGTGAGCCGCACTCCAAAACAATTGGGAAAGCGAAGGTTAGTTGGACAATCTTAACCACAATTAGGTGCGGATATCCTCCCTTTGAATTCTTTCCATGGTCTGTAGACGATTCTAATCCCCCGGCTTTTATGACTCAGGCTCCGTGTCCATGGCACCCGTGGTCTACCCTTGTGGTTGGACTCCATTTGGCTTCTGTTTAAAGCCATGAAAGGGGTCCTCTATTGTGAAGCAAACCAAAGAGGTATGTGTCAAACCATGGATATGTGACCCCAAACATACCAAACATAGTGGTCGCTCGGTCCTTTTGATCCTGGCATATTGCCCCAACAAATTGACACGAGCTTGACCCTGTGAGAAGGGAATCAACCCATCCCCCACCAAGGTCCAGGAACCATTTGATCCAAGGGGCTCTGATCGAGGCCATTTGGGGAAGGGCTATGGGCCAGAATGAACTCGCGCCCTAGGGGAACCTTCTTTCTCTGGGCGCTGGGCGCGGAGGGGGGGGTTGAATCGCCCAAAGGACATCGCATCGTGGTTCGAGATGGTCTACAACCAGCTGAATCTCACACAGGGAATCTTGCATCCGGGCAAGTACGACGCTTCGTCGAGCGCGGGCAAAGTTCGGATCCTGGACTTTGCGAGCTTTTGGACGCAGATCAGCAGTTGAGGGGACAGTCCCAACCTGCCTCTGCAACTCCTTTGCATCGTTTTGGGTAGACCGGTTTTGATTGTGACCCTGAGCCTGACAGGGCTCCTGAGATACCAACTTGGCCAGTTTGAAACATGCCCCCGCACCTATCTTGCGTCGAGTGGAGATACTTACCCAGAGTTCATATCCTGCGTTTCCCTGGGGGTGTTCCACTTGACGATGGTGCTGTCTGTTACAGACGCGCGACAGCATTCATCTTTGGCGGGCTCAAGCCGTGCCAGAGTTGCGAGGCGCCATAAATAGCCCTCGCGGTTTTAAGGGACCTCTTCTGCCCGCGGAGGAAGAGGTCTGAATGGGGCAGACGATAAATGAGGAACTGACAAAATTGCTGGCAGTCTTGGCGAGGATATGGAGGCCCACCCAACATTAACCGGGGGCCCACCCAATTTTAAGCCAGTCATTTTGTCCGTTGCCTTCGAACGCGTGCTTCACTTGACCATCTTTTGCTTCACTTGACAAGAATATAGCACCTGCAGAGCAGCAGCAAAAAGATCGAAGTGGGTTTGTCTCAACATGGGAACACCCACCCACCCCTCCAAAGTGTGGTTTCCTTTTGGTTTCCTTGTAAAGCAAGTGCAGCTCTCCCTTCCGCCTAGTTTGGAACCTGGTCTCTGCTGCCCTTTTTGCGTCCTCGTATCTTTCTTCTAGATGACGATTTGGCTGATCAGTAGCCTTGGCTTTGGCTCCAATGTCAGGTGAGGAGAGGGAGCAGGTGGAAGCAGCGAAAGCTGCCTTGGCATTTGAAAAAGATCTGCCCTGAGGCTCATGTGTGGATAGTACCTATCCAAAAGTCTCTGGGCTGGGCCTCAAGTGGTGGTTTCCCTCAAGCTTTCAGCCACACCTGAAAGCCGTCCCAGAAGTCGGTCTGGTCTGCCTTTGAATGTGATCATAGGGTGGGCGATATTTGAGCCTTTGAAGGGTGGTTCCCTCGGTTGCACAGGGAAATGGAATCAGTGGGATGCTCCCCAAATGATGTTGAGCCCCTTCAATCAATCCAGGAATTGGTCAGGCAATGCAAGGTGTTTTTGCTCTTGTAAGCCGTTACTTGCAGAGGCACGCAAGTGCGCTTTTTTTTTTTTTCCCGCTTGACTATGTTTGAGTGACAATTCTTTCGGCCTCGCTGAATCGTTGAGCGTAAGGCAATCGAGAGCAGGCCGCTCCTTTGCTGGGGAAATGCAAAGGGGAGAACAGGCCGTGGAGTAACGGAGTAGTGGTCCTTGTGCAGTGGGAACGGCCCAGGGGTGAGGGAGAAGCCAAAGCAAAGCATCGGAACTTGAACCACAGCGGAGTTTTGTGAAGGTAGCAGTGGTTCTGCGAAGGTTACGGGGCTTCTATCAAGTTCCGCAGACTGACGCCTTTTACTCTTCTTTAGCAACACCCTTCGAAACTCCTACCTTTTTCTAACCGTCTTGCTGGAAATCCAGCTGCAGCCACTGATAAGCGTCACTGCCTTGCTTGTTGTTGGTGCCTGTTGTTTGGTTTTCGGTGTGTTTTTGCCGGCAGATGTTGGAGATGTTGGTGATGCAGCGGCCCTGCCTTCCACATTTGGCAAGGCGCGCAAGAGGTTTGCAGGTGACTCATTTTTGGTATGCCTTCGACTGGCGCGCCACACGGTCTGCTTTGCGATCCAGGGTTGGCCTCAAGCAGCGGTAAGCCCTCAAGCGCATGTCCTCGAAGGGATCAGAGCCAACGGACAGAGGCTTTCTGAATGCTGGCGAGGTTCAATCGCGACCGGTGGGGCCCTTTGTGCAGGCCGAAGCCGTATTGCAGCTAGGTGCCGTCATTTGTGCAAAGTGCTCAGGGGATGATTGTGTCTCAAAATGGTGGACCACTTTTTGGTTGGAAAGGCAAACCAAAACAACATGTGGAATGTTTTGGATCCCCGGTTTTGAGAAACGATTCATGGAGCCAGTTCCATTCCAAGCTCATTGAAACACAGCAAGCAGCTGCCATGCTCCGCCGCCGCATGGACGCACACTGTCATGTCCGCACATGAGGACGGGGGCCATGGATCAACGGGCTTTGATTCTGGGCTGGGCTTCACTCCTTCCCAGTTGCCCAGTGGATTCCGGCCCTTTTTCTCCTTTCTTTTGGGAAGGGGTTCCCCTTTATACTCAACCAACCAAAGAACAATGCACGTTTTTTTCCTGTGGCCACTGGGCATCTGAGTTCTTAGTCCTTGGACTTTAGTCACTTGTTGGGAGGACCATTTTAGTGGCAAACAGGTTCGATTTTTTGTTTGCCGAGGCAGAGCTGTTTTTCTTGTTGGGCCCATGCTTACCTGTCCAGTTGACAACGTTGGTGCTTGTAGGCCTTTGGCCAAGTGGCGTCCTTTTTGGTCGGCAAACTTTGAGCTGTGTTTTTGGCGGATCTCTTCATCATTTTACTCAAGGCCCACTTTGTCTGGCCAAGCAACTCAGCAGAAGGCATGTTTGAAGGGTCTTCGGTTTAGAGAGTTCAGATTTGTTTATGTTGTGAACTTGCTGAAATGTCGCGCTCAAAGCCTTGCATGGTTCCACTTTGTGGTGATCACAAGCTTCACACTTTCAAATTCAACTATAGGAGTTGATCTTCAAATCCCTCTCCAACAGAATGCCTGACATAGAGCTGGGCCCCTCAAAGTGTTGACATCTTGACATGGTTCTCAAACAGTTGCGTTTGGGGTTGATTTGCCTTCAGCCATTTTGCGCGGGAACTTCGATGCCGCTTCCATGTTCCCAATGGGAGGGAAGATTTGGAAAGGAGCTGCGCAGCGCACTGATGGCATTTCAGGCGAGCCGCGACCTCAAAACTGATTCGAAGGAAAAAAGGTCAGATGCCAACTGCGTGCGGACCTCCGCCTTTATTTTTTTGGTAGACCGCTTTAATATCAGGTTGATTCCGAGAGGTCTCAACATTCACCAATCCAGGGGCCTCTCTGATGTTCCCATGTCCGGTATAAGAAATTGTGACCGTGCTCAAATAGGCCGCCCTTTGGCTTCTTTGGTGTTAGCTAACCCCAGGTTTTGCTTGTGATTCCTTGTGGATTTGCGGATGCGCCCGGTTTGGATTGAGCAGGTCTATGCGAACCCAACTGCATGGGATCCCAAGCCCAACGGGCGACATTCGCCATGCGCGGTTGTATCTTCCATGTCAGGGGCCTTTTGAACCGGCACGGACTCGTTTCTGATCTGAGTCTAAAGCCTCCTTTGCCGAAGGGGTGGTTGATTTTCCCCTCGAGGGTTTTGAGGACCCACGGTTGAAGTCCGCGTTGGTACTTCGCATGCGAGGTTGTCCTTTGTAGACCACTTCGGCAATCTGCCGGCCCCGCCCGAAACAGGTAGTCGTGCCTTCTTGGAGGTATTGCAAGCCAGTTGACCAAAGATACTTTGAGGGCCCTAAGCCTAAGAACATTTGTCATCATCATTAGTGTTGCTATCATTTATCATTATTAGTATGTTTATTGGGATTATTATTAATATTGTTGTTATCACTATTTCTATTATTCTATGTTTGTCGTGTTTATTGTAATCAATAGTATTGTTGTAACTACATATATATATATAATATACATAACACACACACACACACATCTGTTTTTTGTCACACAAGGGAACTTTATGTTCTACATTCCTATAGTGTCCAACTTGCTTTTTCAACTCAAAAGAGGGTGAAAGGGTACTTCCCTGCAACACAGCATGGACCCCCCGCTTTTTGCTGGGGGGTCCCCAAAAGCAGATTCCTCTACTCACGAGGATTGGGTGCCATATCAATCCTGGGCCCAGGAAAAGACAAGGGCCCGGCAAAGCGGAAGCCAGGGCCTGAGCCATGCGAAGCAGACGTCCCAGGAAGAAGTATGCTTTTTGTCCGGGTACCTTTTTGAAGGCTGGTTAGGTTGCAGACTTACTTCCACGTGGGTATGGGTATGTTCTTTTTGGGGGGTAGCCTTCTTAAGGCCGGTTTAAAGGGAAGCCAAAAGGAAACATCGTTGGTGTCCCTTATTGTTTTTGAGACACACACACACACACACACCGCTGCAAGATCAATTTCCTCACGTGACCCCCGTGTCAGGGCATGCCAATGGGAGGGAGGGTAAAGTTCATGAACATTTTCAGGGTTTCTGAAAATAGTTCATTGAGGGTACCCTTCAAACCATCACCTGGAAGCAACTTCTGATGGCAACTTTGAGGCCGTCACTTCGGACCCAGAAGCGTTGCACGCGAGTACGGCCATGGAACCGTAATTTGAGGTTCAGTCGTAACATTCCCAGTCGATTCGATTTATATTTGGGACACGGAGGATTCTCGACACTTCCCGCAAGTCGGGGTGTGGGGGGGGGGGGTGAGGGATTGTGCGATTGTGCACAGCTTCCCCCAGATCAAGCAACCAATCAGCGGGCTATTAGAGGGCCCCAAGCAAGGTGGTCAATACCTTCTTTGCTTGCACCGACTCTCCCCGGAAAGGTGGGTGTCTGAGTTCCATGGTCCGGGAGAAATCGCTGGTCACTTTTGGCGGTCAACCCTGTGAGCCTCTGTAAACCCTTAGAATTGGCAAGCTTTTACCCTCACACGATGCCATGGAACCCGCGAACATCTTTCTTGAGGAAAATGCCAACCAAAAACTTGGGGTGACAGGCGGTGACACGGTGGTTCACTTGTGCATCCCCGGCCTTCTAAACGGAAACGAAATGGAGCCCTGAAGCGATGTCGGTTTCATGCTCCAAGGGGCCCAATCCTTGACATGCGCCTTATTGCCGGCTTCCCCTGGCTTCCTTGAGGGCGCACACGGCTCTTCTTGGGCTTCGTTAACCCCCAGAATCAGAGCTGAAACGGGGCTGCGCAGCCAGTGGACCTCCCGAGGGCCCCGCGCACCCATCTGCACGCCGAGATGGTGGCCAAGCGCCGGGGCCTTGGGGGTACAGTGCAAAAGTCGGATCTGAAGAGCGCCGGGATCAAGCACCAGGTTTTTGGTGTGCCACAAAACCCAGGCGCAGAGCATATCCGAGTGCCGGACAGCTCAAACGAGTTGTGTCTTTCCTTGTTGTGGGGTGATGCTTAAAGGGGACATATGACAAACCCTGCTTCCCGCGTGGGCCCTGTTTGCTCGATCCCCGCAAACAGTCTTTTGGCCCACAAACCCAAAGGCAAAATGGGGGGGGTGCAACCGGGTCTTTTTTCCTTCCAAAGAGGCCGTGGGATGCAACGCGATCCGATTTGAACCCCGCATAAAGTGGCCGTGTTATTTTTGTTTGCCCTTTAAACCAAGCCCACAACGGGTACTCACTCAAACAGACACACAAATGGTAGGTTCTGGTGGCTAGCCCTAAATCAGGGATCTCCTCCAATACAGTTTATATGTTATTTTCTGTGTACCGCTCGGATCAGCCTTTTGGTTTCTTTTTCCGGGGCTTGAACAGTTGGTTCGGTTCTAGAATTGGGACATCCCAAACTTCTCCAATTGTAAGAGCAATGGGAAACAGGTGCATCATTGTTTAAGGGCACCCTTTTCGGGCTGGCTTTAAAGGGAGACCAAAAGGACAACAGTTGCACCAGTTTAGAATTCCCTATTTTGAGACGCACCCAACCCTCCCCCTCCCCCTCCCCCCTCCCATATGATGGACACATTTCGGGTCTATTTTGGAAAAACTCCATTTCTTGTCACCTCTTGTTTTCTTTGGGCTTGGCTGCAACTACTCCAAGTCTGGCCCCCCCCCAACCCGCTCAGGCCGCGACCCCGGCAAGTCCCCAAAGACGGAGGTGCAGGAGGCCCTCAAGGCGTTGCAGGCGCTCCGTTGTTCTTTTTGGGTTGCTTTTTGCGACCCAAAGGATGGGTTTTGAAGTTCACCCATTGGGTTCGCAGTTTTTTTTTGTTTCTCTTTAAACAAAAACACCAGGGGGTGGTGTTTTGGTGACCCGTTTTTTTGGGTCGCAAGGCGATGCTTTTCCAGTGTTGTTTTTTGGGGGGTTTGCTCCAGACGCGAGGCCGCCTTACTTTGTTGAAAGGTCGCTTTGGAGGTCGGAGCAGCTCCTGGCGTTTTCGGGTTGGGCGTATTTGTAGCGCTGAACGGATTCTCATCAGAAGACCACCAGGCCCAAGGGCTATCAAGTGAATCAAGTGGTTTGTGGGGTCCTGGCAGGCTTGAGCAAGGACACCCACCTTCTTTCGCGGGGTTCTCAACCGGGTTGTTGATCATGTCTTGTTGAAGCGCTCAATAGGAAACCAGGCATTTCGTTTTTAGGGCGACCAAGTGGTCAGCACGTGAGGCTGGGGATGAAGAGGCGGTGGAGAAGCTGATGCGAAGAGAGAGCGAGGCGCCGGTATCGGAGGACCGAGGAACCGGGGAACCGAAGAACCGAGGAGTCCGCCCCTTTCTCGTATTTCCCGGATACATGGGCGTGGCTCGTTGTCGTCGGTTGCTCTGTTCTTCCTCTGGATGTTGTCCGTGGCGTTGGGGTTTGTTGTTCTTCCTTTCGATGTTGTTCCGCGGCCTTGGGCAGTTTTCATTTTTCACCTCTGTTCAAAGGGGCCCCCATATTTTGACACATACTCACGTGGGTTTTATTGATGAACGGATTGTCTATGGTTTAGGAGAAATGAACATGGGTGACTCACATATGCCAGAGTCAAAAGACAAGTTCCTTTGGTTGGGCCTGGCAGATCAAGCCCAGGATTTTTGACCACCAAGGTAAAGGTTGTTAAGGGAACCATGACCACGAACTAACCATGGATTCCCCCGGCCGTGCAAAATTGAGCGTGACAAATTATCGCACGTGGTGGAATCCACAGTTGGGGCAAAGAAGCTGTCTAGATCTTGGGATTCCTTGCTGGTACCGGTTCTCACCTATGCCCTTAAAGGAAGCTGCGAGTTGCATGGTTCAGGTTGGGACCCACCAGTCCAGGTTGAATTCATCCATCATCTTGAATGGTACCAGAAGCCGTTGTTAGTTGGTATTTACAGGGGAAGCATCATTACATGGCTTGTCAGATGGCGCGAAATGAATGTCGTCCATCCACAGTACCATTGACCTGAACCCTCTTGAAGAAGCCACATTTGCTGCAAGTGCTAGGACCAATAACCGTTCACCAACTACCATCAACTATGTAGTCGGATGATTCGGCTTGGGGTCATTCCCTCATTCGCCAACCAACCAACCAACCAACCGACCCACCAAGCCCCTGCCTATCCAACCAGCCGATCGATTCTTGGAGTCGATTAGGAGTGGCAGCGCCGCTACTGCGACGGCGCAAGAGCTTACTGGGATCAGCGCGGGCCCTACATGCATGCGTTTTGCATGCGTGTTAATGCAGGGTAAAATAAAAGGGCTAAAGATGTACACTGATTTTGCACCTTCCAGGAAAACATGATTTTTCAACTACCCCCGCAACCCCAGTCTACTCATCCAACGGCCCTTGCAATTGGACCCTGACCTTGGAGATGAGTCAACGGCTCCCCCTCATCCGGGGGTTTTCATTTTGTTAGACACCTAACAAGCGCATGTATGAACACCAGCTAGGGTTCCTGAAAGGGTACCAGCTCATATAGAGGATCCCTTATGGTTTGTAAGGTGTTTCAATGTATCCTTGTAGGAACCCTGTGTACGTTCAAGCATGGTGGCCACCTTCGAACTATTCATCCATGCACTGAGCTTCTACCGGGAGCGGACAGTGAACTTCTTCAAAGACCGCCACTATTTGCGGGAGGACAGGCATCTGGGTGCTGGTAGGCCTTTGGCCAGGTGGCTTAATAGGGAGCCACCTCAAAAGTGGTTGGTGGACATGAATCCCCACCTGAACGGTGTCCACCAAAGGGTCCCCTAGGCAAAGCTCACACCCAAGTGGTGCCACAGGCAGGCTTCGAGCTTGCTACTCGATATCTTCATAACTTGCGCCGCAGAAAAAGTTTGAACGACTTCAGGTCTGGGATACCGGAAGTGAACAGTTCTTTGGTTTCCTTACCAGTGGTTGGAGCACATTGGGTTTCCCCCATGCTTTTTGGCCTCCACGTTGCCCAACCAGAAAGCAGGTGGATCGACAACGGAACCATGTTACACTTGGTGAAACCCGAGAAACCATTGGCCCAGATGACACGGATTCAAAGATTGTCCCAACATTCCGCGGTGTCCTCCAGACATGTGGATTCATGTTTGGTTGAAAGGATAACCACTAAAGTTTCCTTGGTTTCCGAAGCATGCGTCTTTTTGGTTTCCGAAGCATGGTCTTTGTTGTTTTGGTTGCTGAAGCGCAGCTGCCAAGCCGAATCCGAATCGCACTTTCCGAAACAGTTCATGACGCGAACAAAGGGACCCGTGGTGGGAATGGGGACGACCAGGCAGCTTGTGGCCATGAATTTCATAGGCAACCCTTCACCCCTTTTTGGTGGGTTTAAAGGAAAACCAAAAGGAAAACCGCAACTTTGGCGGGTTTGTCTAAGAGAGTCACACCCAACTGATGTCCAGGTTCCCCGCGTTGGGAATGGCCGCCAGGAGTTTGCGGACCTGATGCCGGAGGAGGTCCTGGCGGATCCCAAGCGCCGGGATCTCTGGGCTGCGGTTTTGTGAAGAGGCGCTCAGAACTTGAGCCCTCCACCTGGAGAACTTGGATATTGCCCAACAGAATGAGGGGAAACAAAAACAGAGGGTTGGTTCCTTGCGGCTTGTGGGTGGATTGGTGGGTCGGGTGGGTTGCTTGGTTGGTGGATGGTGGGTTGAGCTGGTAGAGTTGGATGGTGGGCGGGTTCTTTGGTTGGCCTGTTTGTGCTTTGTTTCCATTTGTTTACGTGCACGAGTTGCACGTAGGGCGACTTCAGCCGCAGATCTGCAAACCTTCTCGGGCTTCCTACGTACGGAACTCCTCAGAATGGTTGGAGTCCGTTTGGTCTCCCTTCAGTCGGTTTAACCGACGTAATCTGTTAAGCATTTGAAGAATGCTAGTTCTTCTACTAAAAGTTTTGCAGGGGCTCAAAGACCAACCGCGTTGCTATTTGCTTTGCCGACTGTTTGGGCGGCGTGTGATTGAGCCTTAGTATGTGTTACGTACCCTTTGTTGTTGCAAAGGGGGCGGCGTTCGCATTTTTCTGCCATTGGACTCGCAAAAGCCGGCCCCTCAGCTAACTTCCGTGTGGCATGGTAACATGCTTCATTGATTGCCATGGCTTGCATGTAATTAAATGGGAACATAACAGTTCTTGTTTTGAACGTCGACGGCCGACACTATCGGGCCATGGTAGGGGTGCTCTTTTTCATTATTCGTTCAATGTTCGGTTGCCCCCTAAGTGGGGGGTTTCTCCAAATGGATTATGACACCGAATTGGTTGGTTTCCAAAGGGACACCAGAATCCTTTCGATTTGTTTGTGTGTTTTATCTTGTTTGATTTTCTAGAGTACAGTCAATGACATGTATTGAACATCGAATATGATAACAAGATCCAATTAAAATTATGTTTCAAGTTCAATCCGAATTCAGCTTGAAACAACTGCATTTCCCTATGCATTCAAAGAACACATTGAAATTGCAATTTGAAGTTAGGATCAACTTCAATTTCAATAGCTTAATTGCTCTTACTCAAGTCTGCATTTTTTTTGCTAAGCACGAACTGAGCCAAGCCACTCAATCAAAAGTGTTTCAATCAACATGGATTTGCTCCTTGGCAGCTACACGCAGTAATTTCAGCAAGTGCCAGCTCCTTCCTTCCCGCCAAAAAACGGTCAAGCTGCGCAGTTCATGTCATTTTTCTCCTCACAAATGAAGGCCAGCTGGGCACCTACTAGATCAAAGGTGAAGGGCCTGCGAAAAAGGCACAAAGTTTCAGGGAAAGCGTTAAAGTGTTTTTGAGCTGGACCCAAGATCCGAGTTTGCGCAGATCAAATATATATATATATATATATATATAAATGGTCGCCCCCCCCCCCCCCCCACCAAGATCCACCCCCAGCTTTGGACACAGCTAAAACACTGCCAAAACACTCTAATTTACAGTGTTTTGAGCATTCAACTGTTTGAAGCAGATGAAAAGCAAAACGGTTTTCGTTTAGATTTGACATTGTTTTGTCAGATGGGTTGATCCTGGACAAGATGTGATGCTGGCAGATGTTTTGGTTTGAGTAGGCATCTTCATATAGTATTTGCAGCAATTTTGAGCCCGAAGAAGAAGGATAGGCAAGCAGAAGTTTGCAGATGATTTGTGATTGAAGTGTGTTGAACATGTTAAAAAGGAAAAACAACAACTCCTTTTTATTGCATTTTTTCAGTTTGGGAAGGACATGGTGCTCAAAGTGCTGCACTGTCCCTATTTTTGGGTTTTCCAAAGCAACAAGAATAGGGACTGTACATCACTTTGGAGATCAGGGTGCTCAAAAGTGCTGTACTGTCCCTATTTTTTGTGTTTCCAAATCAAACAAATACGGACAGTACAGCACTTTGGAGATCAGGGTGCTCAAAGTGATGTACTGTCCCTGATTTTGTGTTGCCAAATCAAAAAATAGGGACAGTACAGCACTTTGGAGATGAGGGTGCTCAAAGTGCTGTACTGTCCCTATTCTTCTTCTTTTGCAAAAGTGCTGTACTGTCCCTAAAAAACCTAAGAAAAAACACAAATTATTTCCAAATAATTGTTTTTTTATTAAGGTTTTTTAGGGACTGTGCAGCACTTTTGGCTCTCCAAAGCCCACAAATAGGGACAGTACAGCACTGTTGAGGTCAGGGTGCTCCAAAGTGCTGTACTGTCACTTTCTTGTGAGTTTCCAAAGCAACAAATAGGGATAGAACACCACTTAGGGTCAGGGTGTTCCAAAGTGCTGTACTGTCCCCTTTTTTTTTTCCAAATCAAACAAATAGGCACAGTACAGCACTTTGGAGATCAGGGTGCTCAAAGTGCTGTACTGTCCCTAAAAAATCCAAAAAACCAACAAAAAACAACACCAATTATTTGAGAGCCTTGCATGGCCAAGAGCCTGAGACCTCCAAATAATTGTTTTTTTTTCAAGGTTTTTTAGGGACTGTGCAGCACTTTTGGCTCTCCAAAGCCCAAAAATAGGGACAGTACAGCACTTTTGAGGTCAGGGTGCTCCAAAGTGCTGTGCTGTCCCTTTTTTGTGTGTTTTCAAAGTAACAAATAGGGACAGTACAGCACTTTTGAGGTCAGGGTGCTCCAAAGTGCCGTGCTGTCCCTATTTGCTTGCTTTGGACAGCCAAAAGTGATGTACTGCCCCTATAAAACCTTTAACAAAGCCAATCATTTGTGGGTCTCAGGCTCTTTGCCATGCAACGCGTAAGGGCAATTATATTGGAAAATGAATTCCCGTGTAACATTTACGTTGAAGTAGATTAATCATAATATAAAGTCTAATCTAACATATACAATTTGATTGGAGTCTTTCCTTAATAATTTCTAGTTAATTTCAGTCAGACATTGGGTAGAATTTGGTAAAGATATTAAGTAGACTTCAGAAGGAGATAATTAGAGGTCATAAATTGTGCTTTTTTTTTTGTGTGTGTACTAGCCCCAGAACTACCATGGTCAGAAAACACCGTAAAACACAGTGTTGTGTAGCGGTTTTCGTACTCAATTCACATCTCCACCAACGGCCGCTCTCTAAAATTCAGTTTGAATTTGAATGGGATTTCAATAGGACTCAATAAGGAAATACTTGATCAGACTCCTACTGGAAGTGACATCTTACATTTAGAATTTAGATGTAAATCCTTGCCCAATAGAACATTACAATTTTAAATTAGAGGTTAAACATAATTTGATAAGGAATGAATCCAATCACAACTTCTGTTTCATAATAGAATTTGAATTAGAGTAATTCTAGTTTAATTGATAGTTTACACAGTATGTTCTTTCCAATCAAATTTCTTTACAATTCAGCTGACATTTAAACACACCTTATGCAAACATAGTTCAACTCGAGTTTCCACTCAAACAGTTAAAAAAGCGCGCGTTCAAAGCGTCCTGCTCTCAAAAGGAATTATACATATATTTCTAGATTTGCCATCCCCAAAAGGCAGTAAAACCAGGGTCCATGGGGGGGCGGGGGGTACCATATATATATATATATTCACACCCAAAAAGGATTTTGGACACCAACATATACTCAAAACAACCCAAAGGTGGATCTTGGGGGGGAGCATATAAATATATAGTCTTGATTTCAAGCCACCCTAGCCAAAATGAAAGTGTTTGACAAACATCGCATATGTTGCGCAAAAAATCCGAGGCTCTCAGCTTGGCTTGCAAAGTGTTGCGCAACATTTCGACTGGACCAAACAAACAAAATGCCAAGAAGCTAAAGAAACAAAGCTTCATTCCAGCCATGGTGAGGGGTAAATTTCTTTTGGGGGGTTTTCCGGGTTGTTGGTTGGTTGGCTGGGCTTTTTGGGTTGTTTTTTTGGTTTTATGGTTGGTTTTCCAAATGTTTGCCAAATTGCGCAACATTTGGGACATGTCGCGCAACATTGTCACTGGACCAAGCAACCCCGCAAAAAAACCAATCCTACCTCCACCATGGCAAGAAATGTGGGGGATGTTGCGCAACATTCGCAAGGACCAAAGTTAAAGCCAGAACAACTACTTCTTGATGGCCAAGTGCCAGAAAAGCTATTTTGTTTGAGAGTGTTTTCGGCTTCATGGCTTTTAGTGAGAAGTACAGCCAAATGCCAGAACATGCTATTGTTTAAACGCTCTTTAGGCGAGGGGGAAATGCAGCTAGAACCTCGGTTTTCTTGGGAAAGGGTACCATATACACATAGAATATTATATATGCATAGTTCATTTATTGTGAACGTGTCCAATTCGCCAGAGAAAAGTTAAGTTTGCAGGCAAGGGGCCGCAAGGAAGAACCATGGTGCCAAGGCTGGGTGGATGAGCTCGAGGTGGGGCAGGCGGGGGACTCTTTTGGGATTTTCGACTCGGCGTGTGGTGGGAACTGAAGGTCACGGAGGAAAAACCATGTGATAGCCATTGGCCCCTGGTAAAGCGGTGTTTTCCTAGAAGAAGAAAGAAACAACCTAAAGGTGTTGAAAGTTAAACAGGTACAGGATTGGTGGCTTTGATTTGGATTTGAACGGGTCCCTGGTTCTTGTGGGTAAATGAGGAAATCACCCCGTTTCACCACCAAACCACCAATCCAAACCACGAAATTAGTGGGTAGCTGAATTTGGGATCCTGGAAGGCTTCATCTCTCTTTTTTTGTTTCTCAGCCAAAGGAAAGCCGGCCGTGGGTTGCTCGTTTTGGGATGCAGGTATGGTTATGGATGTTGCTGGGAACACCCTCGCGAAACTAAAAATGTTTTGTTAATTCTTGGGGGTCTCCGATGATTCAGAACCGTTAACCCTGCCTTTTGCAGGCAAATGATGTTGGTTCCCATTGCAACTAGTCCCACTCGATACGGCAACACGTTATCCAAGGAACCCCTAACCCGTTCGTTTGGTTTCCTTCGGGCTTGCCTGTCTGAAAGCGGGGGGGGGGGGGGGAGGGTCAGTCGGTTCGCGAAGCCATGTTCGCAACCGCGGTTTGCAAGCCTCAGGAGTGCGCGTGTTCTTCCTTGCGTGACACGTGAGTCGGTTCGCCGCAACTTTCGCGGTGAAGTAGGCCACAGATGTTTTTTTCTCCCAGGGCCCTTTGGACGCCGAATCGGACCTGGAGAAGCTGAAGGCGGCTCTGCAGAAGAAGCCCCTTGGCTCGGTGGGGTAACTTGGAGGCTTGTAGCATTGTAAGCTCAACATTGGTATGTGGAACAAACATCGGAGACAACAGACTCAGATATTCGGCTTTCGCTTGCAGGGATGGTCTTGGAAGAACAGGGTACGTCGCTGTGAAGCCTCAACAGCTGGTTTCATTGTATGAACCCAGATGAATTTGTTTGAACCTCATAGAGTCATGTCATTCTGAACCCACGACCCTTCTCAATAGGTTTTAGGTGTTGCTCATTTGTTGGGGTGGGAGGCAGGGAATGGCACGTCATGTCCATGAGGAGCAGGTGAATATTGGCATTTCCCAAATTCCCTTTCCGATGGGATTTGGGCGGGGGGGTGTCTGGAAACATGAAAAAAGGCGGACAGGGGGACGTACTATGTAACCTGCACACCTCGAAACCGCCCACATGAACATGCCCTTAGATTCAATCTGCCCTGCCAAACCGGGAGCTTCATTTGGATGATTTCAAGTTGGAAAAGAGGAATCTAGCGCATGTCGGTCCAGGGAAGCGCCAGAGCGATTTGGCCGATGTAGATTTGGCAGTATGTCGGAGCCTGCTTATTGCATCTGGGTGTGCTTCTTCTGGAGGGCGCACATTTTTCTGGTTGTATTACTGGCCGGCACCAAAGGAAGCCAACATTTCTTCTTCGGCTCTGGCACCAAGCAGAAGCCGAAGCAAGCAAGGCTTCTCTGGCTGAACTCAGCTCTTTGCTCTTTTGCCCTGTGGGGTTTCAGCAACAGGTGGCCTTAGGGTGTCGTCTTGAAGAGACCTTGCTTCGGCCCAGTTTTGGGCCGAAGAGACGCCGAGGACGGTGCTCTTGGAGCTGGGTTGTGCTGTGGGTGGGGCGCTCAAGCAAGGGCCAGCTCCAAGTTCAATGATCCAGACTATGGCTAGGAATTTTAACGGGAAGCCCCTCGCAGCCATGGTTGGTGGACACAACTCCCCAGAGAAATCATTATTCCTGTATCTATGCCATATGGCCGTCCGTTAGTTGGGGGAGCAAAGAACCCGGATGGACATGCCACAGCCCAACGGTCGAATGAGCAAAACCGGGTAGCTTCCAAGCGGCCAGTTCTCCAATCTACACTTGGAGCTTAACACAACAAACACACACCATCATGTTGGGAAGCGTTGAGGTTGTCACTTTTGTTCTGGGCCAAGCTCAGGTCGGGCAAAAAGTTAAACCTCTTCTTTGGAAGATACCCACAGAATGCCAAGGATGGTAGTCCAGCGGCAAACACGCTGACTCCATTGGGGTTGGCAACAAGCTACCTAAACCCTCAAAATACCGAATATTGCTCAGCGCTTTGCTTCAGGCTAGTTTGAGGGTTCCAGCTGTGGTTTATGTGTTTGTCTTTTCAGGCTGCATTTGGAAGGTTGGGGTTGAAATGGGGAAGCTGGCCATTCTTTCTGCGAACAGCATTCGTGACACATACCCAGGGAGAGTAAGACACTCGACACGGCGGGTTGAATCCGAGAGCTCCGACCCCGAGGCAACGGGTTGATCCCGATGCTGAGGGCCAATCCGGACTGAGCGGGTCGGCTCGGGTGGGCTCGGGTCGGCTCGGGTCGGGCGGGATTTCGAAGAACCGTTTCATGGACAACGCCCACTTGAGCCATGGGGTTGGACAAGCCTTGGAAATTTTAGTACCGCTTGCTTTTGCACGGTTGGCTAGTATAAAGCTGTATTGCCTTAGTAGAACCCAAATGGGTGTTGCCCGCTGCCCACTTCGCACCAGTTGGAAGCAGGTATTGCCAAGCTTTGTTCAACCCGAACTTGTGGATCTTTTGTCCACTCAAAGTGGTACCCCACAAGCCCACTCTCTCGCGCACACCTCAAGCAAAAGTCCACAGTCTTTGCACATCGACGCCGATCCCAGCAGAGGGTCGCTGGACCGGTCGCCGGATCCCATTCGGTGCCTTTGGTCTGGGTCCCCGAAACTGCTTCCTCAATCCCCGAAGTTGCTACCCGTGAACATGGATCCGGATCCAACAGTTGCAACGTGTCGCCCCATTTGTTTCCAAGCCACAACCCAGCAGTCTGAACCAAAGTTCTCTCAAACAAGTCACCTTACCAAACAAGACTACAGGTTCCCAGAACCCACCCAAAAAAAATTCGCAAGCAACTCAGCCACCAAAAAAACGTTTCTTGCATTTCCCCAAACGGCGGCAGGGAACGGCGGGAGGGGGGTCCAAATGGGGATCGGCGGGGCTAGGACCTCTTCGGCCTCGGCTGCGACCTCTCCGCGGAGGCGGTGCGGCTGCTCCGAGACAAGGCCGGGGGCTGGGTGTCTTTTGATCTGGGGGCATCTGCCAAAAAAGAAGAGGCGGCTTTCCTTTTGGGTTTTCTGGGCCCCCCCCAAAAGACCTTGAAATGGAGGGGGCCTGTTTTGCATGGATTCTTTTTGGGTTTCCCTTTAACAACATCCAACACAGGCCCCCCTCCCTCCCCCCCGAAAAAAAACAATCAGGGACGGACCCAAGTCTTTTTTTCTCGTTTTCGGACAACGCTTTGGAGTTGCTGGACTTCGGAGCGCTGCATGATGCTTGGATTCGAATCCCATCGTATAGAAAGGCCCGCTGCAGTCAGTTTTCGGACATAAGACTTTTTTCACCCAGGAATCAAAGGGCATAGAACATTATTAGTTTGTGGGCTGTTTTCAAGTGACCCCACCGATTTTCTTGCTATAGGGGGCGGAAGTTCTCAATCTCCATGGAGCTCGAGCTGGCGGCCGAGGGTACTCTCCCATCAATAAACATGGGCAGCACGTTCGATCAGTGGAGGACCTGTCCTTTTGGAGAGGGGGGTTGTGCACCACAACCGGCTGATTCACAAAGCCGTGAGAACCAAAGTGACAGCCAGATGGCGGGGCTTTAAACGCCTTCAAAGGGATATCTATTTGGGACTCTCCTAGCGCTAAGGCATCCCCCCAAAGTGGTTCCAGAAGCGACAAACTGGTGGCTTTTGACGACTTATGACTCTGGGCCGATTCGTTTATTTGTCAACAGTAGAGGAGTTGGTGGTTTAAGCAAGATCAACCTGGTATTAAGATGGTCTACCAGAACTATGTAGTGAGAAACAGGGTGGCCGCACCTCTATTTTTTGACCATCCCTTGCCAACCTGCACCGGGTTTTGAACTTGTGGCTCCGGTGTAAGTGAGGCAACTATCAGTAACTATAAGTCCCTCGGTGGTCGGATTGGATCGCGCACTCGCTTCGAGAGCGGTCTGCAGAGCGACCGCCCGCCTATTCGAGGAGGAATATCGCTGCGGGCGCTGCTTGGCTTTTCCTTGCGTGCGAGGCTCAGCTTTGAACAGCAAGTGCGTCGCGCGTGGGTGACAAAGCGCAGCGTTACTGGTGTGTGCGTGAAAAGAAAGAGCTTCCAATCTTTTCGTCTTGATTCATTCCGTAGCCAATAACCAGCAAGAAGTCATGGTTTTGCTCGGGCGGTCCAGAGGCAAATTTGGAAGCTGGACTAACATGACACCAGGTTCCTCCAACTTTTTTGGGGGGTCCCAGTTTGGGTTCCATGTTACCTGTTGTTGCAACAATCATGGAAGTGGACAAAGACGATGATCGTTTTCACTGGAAGTGAATTGGACCTCTGGAGGGCCCTGTTTGCGGTCCCCATATTTTTGTGTCAGACAACAACGTGGGAAGCATCACTTCAAGGCTCGACTTCTTTTGGGTCAACTTGCGATCCGAGCTCCGAACTTCGCTGAGGACATTACCAAAGGACCGCAGGAGCAGCCGACCTCGGAGCACCGCAGCTTAGAGGAGTGGGGAGGAATCAAAACGAGGCGGGTGCCGATGTCCTAAAGTAGGGCATCCAACTATGATATCTATATATATATATATATTTATATCTATATATATATATACATACATACGTGTCTTTCTCTCCCTCTATACATATAATCATATATATATATATATTGAATAAAGTGAGTTTGGCATATGTTGCACTTCGTGGCGCAACTAAGATGGATTGTTTGTGTGGTTGGGTATGGCCTGAACTAGGGATCTCCCCAGATTGGAGGGGTGTTGTTCTGCTGTTGACTGCTGGTTTGCCTTTCATGTAAACTATCCCAAGTTCGGTTCCCTGGTACCCAAGTGATCGAAAAAGGAACCGAGAAGCCAAGAAACCAACAAGTTGGAGGGGTTGCTAGCTTTGAAAGAAGAGTCTACCTGCCTGGCATGGTTCAACGCTGATTCAGAGCTATAACAAAGGGAGAGAGACACTAGGACTCCCCACCGACCAAAAAGGTTCTGCTAGCTTTGAAGTTCAATAGCAAACCACTTGGTGGACGTGAATCGCCAGCTAAATGACATCGTCCGGACTCACATTCGGACGTCCCACCTAGAAAGTTCTTCGATATTTGCAGATTCCTTCTGAGCCTTTCCTGGGGGGGGTTTTCGGGCTTCTTGGTAACAGAAGCTATACCCGCGAATTTGGGGGCGTTTTCACCATGGGTTTGGCGCAAACCACGGGTCTCCCTTTTCGGCCGAGACCTTTGCCTCGCGGTAAACTTTACCGCAGCCCGCAGGACCAGGTGCCCGAGGCGTCTGTGGACTTTGCCACGCTGCTCTTCGTGCTCAGCGCGGAGCTCAAAACTCGCACGATGGGTCGCGCTAGGCGCTCGCTGGGCCGACGCAAAAGGAATACCGGTGGTGTGGTAGAGCCACGTAGGTTCCAACCATGGTCAGAAGGGGAAGAACACCAATTACCCCCACTCAATATCCATTTAAGCTTTCCAAGTCAGCTCAGCATCCAAGTAAGGCCAATTAAACGCTTTTTATGGTCTTATCCCAGGCTTGTCTAGGGAAGGCCCCCCACCCCCCCCCCCCTTACAAAGGGAGGTCCCTGAATGGAGCGTTTATGTTCAGGCATACTTGGGTAAGTGGTTTGTAGTCATTGTTCTATCTCACTCGGCTTGACCGCTGTAAGTGGGTTACAACGAGCTTTAGGCAAGTATCATTCTGGTTTCGATGTTTCAGTTTGACAACCATACATAGACTTTGCATTTTTGTCCCCAAACGACACTAGAGGGCTCGTCCGTTTCTGATTCGTGCATGTCCGTGTATCAGAAGCTGTTTGGGCTGGGCTTCTCTGTAGAAAATGGACACAACACGGGGGCGTGCAAATGAGATCAACCCACTAGCCCCAGACTTACCACATCCCACTAGCACCGGACGTATCGCAGCAGCTCCAGGCGCACATATCTCTACAAAAGTCAGACTGGGCTCACCGGGACCAAAGCGTCCGTAGCCTTTGTTTGCTATGGAGCATCACGTGCAAACGCTTGCAGAGGCGCGCACAAAGACGAGGTTGCGGCTCTTATGCTTTGGCAGATGGGCATGCCATTTTTTGGCGAGGCAACGCCAGGGAACATCAGGTTTTAGGAAACCCGATTTTCTGTGATTCGATAGAATCCCTCTAAAGTGAGACTTGCCATGCGAATCAACCGCTGCCCTGAACTCACTTACCGAAAGGGATTCGCCCAACGGCCAAACAAGGGGTAGAAGGAAAGGATTGTGAGCATCATTTTTTTGGATTTGTGTCCAAACTAGCAAGGGGCTCTTTTCCGCCAAAGGATCGCAGCAGTTGCGGTAAACTGGTTGGACACAATCCTGGGCTTGAAATGCTCAACGGGAGCCGAAGGGTCCAAGCGGAACCGACGCGACGCCGGCGCGCAGCCGGAGGTCTGCGGCCAGGACGCCGCCAGCTGCCGCCGCGCACTGGAAGCCTCGAACGGCGACGTGGACGCGGCCGCTGCGGCGCTGCTGTCGAGCCCGGCGCCCGCAAGCCATGCGGGCTACGTGGGCGGCAGCCAAGCTGGCGAGGCAAGGAGCCGCTTTGGGGCTGAAGTTGACAAAGAAATAAGGAACAGTACATTTTGTTGTGTGTTGAATATGGCCCCCTCCCCTCCCCTCCCCTCCCCTCCCCTCCCTCCCCTCCCCTCCCCTCCCCCTCCCCTCCCCTCCCGTCCCCTCCCCTCCCCTCCCCTCCCCTCCCCTTCCTCCCTCCCAAGAAAAACATCAATATTTGATCCAAATAGAACATGCAAAAACACATGAATATTTTCCCACTCGCACCAAGTTGGCTAGCATGGTTCCGGACCACCTACTCGGTCTCTCTCTTTAAAAACCAAAAGCAAAGATTGGGGCATCCCAACCCAACAAAAGCCGTGTTTCCCACCCCAAGAACCAGCAGCTAGTTCGCAGGCAAGGGAATGACTATATTTACCGTCCAACTGGATTCCTGTATGGGATCCCGAAGTTCATTCTCAAAGCCCCTGTTGATTCCCCAATGTTGGCCCCCAGATTAACAAATCCTTCCCATAGGGTGTTCCCCTCTGTGATGAATTGTCATCCCCCTTTTACTCAAAATGGCTTCGGTTTTCCATTTGGTTTTCCTAAGCCCGCGAAAATGGGGTACCCTCAAACAAAGTTGAGACACGGTGCCTCTACCGTCTACCAAGGACACATCCAACAAATCAGCTGTGCAACTCATCTGGCATGAATCATTAATCACAGGGTACCTCAAAGGATACATCAAAGTCGGGGGTACCAAGGATATATCCAACAAATCAGCTGTACAACTCATTTGGCGTTAACCTCCAAGAATACATCCAACACATCCGCCAACCAAAGCCAACCGAGCCGCTTCCCCGCTTCGCCTTCGCCGCCGTCTGGCCACGCGTCGAGGGCCCGCTGGCGCTGCTGCTGGCCATGGGCTACCCGCAGAGCCGCGCGCAGCAGGCGCTGGCGGCGGCGGGGAACGACGTGCAGCGCGCCGTGGAGTGCCTGGAGGCGGGCGAAGGCGAAGGTGCGAAGGTGAAGCCGCGCTTTTTGGGCGAGGAAGACACACGGTGGATGCTGCATAACGGCCGGGGGGGGGGGTTGGTTTGGTCTGGTTGTCTTTTTCTTGTTCACCTCTCTTTGAGAGTTGTTCTCTTCCCCTCCAATTCTTGTGTATTTGTTTGGGATGTTTGGAATTTGTGTTTTTTTTGTTTCGACTTTAGTGTGTGTGTGTGTGTGTGTGTGTGCGGAGTGACAGAATGCCCTGTCACCGTCTTTTGGGTTAAAGCAGGGGGCAGCCGGAGAAGCATGTGGGCGGCTGCCAACGAAGACCCCACATGATTCTCGTGAAACGTACCTGCAAGCCGCACCTGGGTCTATGATGACAGCTGGTGGGCTACCCCAACTAAACGGACCCCTCTTTGCCCGCGGAAACCGCCACTCGAAAACCCACCCAGTCGAAAGATGAGATTCCTCCTTCGGGAGTTTAAGTGTGATCACCCTATCTTGGGGGAACCTCGGGTGTACCCATTGTGTGACCCCGGGCCGGTTCGCCGGAAAATTTGACCTCACGACCGATCATAGACCAGCGGATTTCACGTTTAAGCAGGAACGAGGTTTCACTAAAGGGAAGACAGCCGCCACTTCATAGTTACGTCTCACCACTGGCGTTGCACCTGCTGCTTCCAGGCTGCGGCTCTTCGAGTGTTGCGCATATGTGTTGAAATCTTTGCTTGGTTTGTCTTGCATGGTCATGTAACTTGCTACACCTGCTGCTTCCAGGCTGCGGCTCTTCGATTGTCTACGCAGCGGAATAAATGATGCGTGGGCTATTCTTTCGACCTCGTGGTGAGCGCAGCTGCTTCTTCCTGACAGAGAAACAGCGGCTTTCGTCTCTCATTGAGGGGCGTGTGTGTGTGTGTGTGCGGAGATGCCCTGTCACCGTCTTTTGGATTAAAGCAGGGGGCAGCCGGAGAAGCATGTGGGCGGCTGCCAACGAAGACCTCACACGATTCTCGTGAAACGTACCTGCAAGCCGCACCTGGGTCTATGATGACAGTTGGTGGGCTACCCCAACTAAACGGACCCCCCTTTGCCCGCGGAAACCGCCACTCGAAAACCCACCCAGTCGAAAGATGAGATTCCTCCTTCGGGAGTTTAAGTGTGTGTCATTGTTTGGCAAAGTCACTTCCAAAGCAAGACTGTTTTGTTTTTCGTTCTCACCCTTTGCATCTTGATTCCCTATATGCATTAGAGCTAGGATCTGAGCAAAGGTGAAAGACATGAGACCCAGCTGCATTGTTGTTTGATTCTATTGGAGAAGTGAAACAAGTTTGTTGGATGCTATTTTTTGAGGGTACCTTTTTCATCTTGGTTGAAAGGGCAAGCAACACTAAGGCGCACTGCAATTTGTGGGTCTCCCTATGTTGACACGTCTCCAATTTTTCTGAAGCATCCCCATCGAACATGGGAGTTTCTCAACATGGTGGACCCCCTGTTGGTTGGCATTTAAAGAGAAGCCAAAAGAAAAACACAAAACAAAAAAACACCAACCATTTTTCAGGCAGCCGTGCTTGGTCAAAGTACGGCTGCCTTAAAACGGTCCGAACCCAAGCCGCGGGTGTTCTCAAATCGAGAGACACCCACGACTTGGGTTCAGACCTGGCTCAAACAGCAGCAGGCCGAGGCGGCGTCCTCTTCGGAGAACGACGGCGGCATTTGCGGGGTTTGCGCCATCTGCCACTCGGATTTTCCGTGGTGTGCGCCTGGGCCCTTGTTTTCAATCACGACGAGGCAGCTGTTTCCTCTTGTTTGTTCGTGGGTTCTTAAAGCTACGCTTGGGACTCGGTGGTTTCCATGACCAGAGGCTCGTTGGACGAAATTGGGGCACTTGGAATTTCCACGGACAAACGGCCAACCAAAACAATAAAGTCCCCAACTCTAAGAACCCTTATTTCCATGTTGGCCCGAAGGTTTGCTTTCTCACAGTTTCGGGTCGCAAGTTTTCCCTCAGCCCTCGCTCACAGAGATTCGTTCGTCCGTATGGGTGTATGTCGATTGAGTACCCTTTTGGTGGTGTTTGAAAGGCGAACCAAAAAGAAACCAACCATTTTTGGGAGTCTCAATCTTGTTGGGGTTTATTTGAGGGAAGAAAAGGCAGCCAGGCCAAAGCATTTGCCAGTCGGTTTTGAGACACGCCACTGATTCGAACGGAACATGCAGCTTGAGGGCACCTCTTTGTCCATGCGAAATAATTCAGGTGCCACGGTTCTCAAAATGGTTGGACATCAGTGAAATCCCAAACAACCAAAAGGATCTTTTTTTTTGGCAAACCGAATGACCTAAGGGGGTCTGTCACAGACACTCTATTTGTTGTTGTTTCTTTTGTTTGGGCAGAAAAATGGGTTCCCGGACGGGCTTGTGGTCATAGAGGTGAGGAGGTCAGTAAAGCGAAGGGAAGCAAGTCCACATCCTCAACCATTCGGTCACTCATTTTTCGCGAAAGAAGTATCCCTGGAAAGAATAGCCCATGGGGAAGTTCCCAGTTGGGTTGAGGAGTTGGACCGGCCAAGGCCTGCAAGAGGAGTGAAATGGGGAAGCTAAGCAGCTAAGCCTTCCTCTTGCACCCAATACCCACGTTTTGCAAGGTTTGATGTCAAGCCTTGACCAGAAACCAGGTATTGTATTCCCGGGATCAACATTGCCCGGGCTTTGTCTTCTTTGAGGGTCCGGATAGTAAGGGGACCTATTGTGAAGGTTGTTTGGGCCGCCTTGGGGAAACCATGGGAGGACAACAAGGGACGGGGGGACACCAAAGGGGAAGGAGAAGCCACGGGGCAAAGCTTCGACTGGAAGGGTGTGAGCTTCAAGGTACAGAGCCGCTGCAGCCCCGCGACGCCGCCATGCGCTGTGCCGGCCGAGGGGGAGGCGACACTGCGGGTCCCGCAGATGGCTTCCGGGGGGGCGCCGGGGGGTGGTGGTTTCCAGTTAAGCCACTCATGTGGGAAGTGAGAAGGGCATGTTGAGAATGCCACCGAAAAGAGGACTCTTCCGGACAAAGAAGTCACCCAGAGAGTAGTCTAGTGGCCTCCCAACCCAAATGGGCGTGCACAGACGGAAAGGGGCTACGTTCTGCTTGGAAAGGGCTTGGTGCACAGACATGTCAATGTGGGTGTGTCTGTTTTTAGGGTAGGTGGTTTTAAAGGGAAACCAAAAGGAAACCACTCTACTTTTTGGGGGTCCTCTAAAAAGGGACACACCCCCGTTCATTTTGGAAATGAGCCTTTTCCACTTCCATTTTGGGTAAACGAGTCTGGACTTCGGGCTCCACTCAGGAAGGGAAGTGAGTCGACCAGCCGGAGCCAGATTTGATTTTTTTGGGGGTTGATCCCAAGCAATGGGCATGGTTTCTTACCCCCAATGCCGGCTTGTTTCATTTGACGGTACTTCTTGAACAACCCGCTATTTTCCTCCGTGGTAGTCGCCTAGGGGTGACATCATACCCCGTGGGACTGTGGCCGGGCCTGGCCGGGCTTCTTCTCTTTTTTTTGGGGACGGAGGCCACCACTACGGGCACGCGGCCTGTCTGGGGCAGTGGGTGGAGCAATGCCGGGCGCGGCAGCAGGAGCCGGAGATGGAGTCGCGATGAGATCAGCGATTTCCATGGATCCGGTTGGGAGAAATGAGTGACTTAAGGAGCATGAAGGTCCTTTGCTTGAGAATCCGATTCTCATGGTAGGTTTTGGAGTTGGGGAAGACTCGGCAGATTTGCGAGCCGGGGCCAAGGGTTTCTTGGAACCTTGAAAGCCATCCAAGAAGGGAGTCCCTTTTAGGCAGCAAATCCTCTGTTTGTTTTTTGACGACCCAACTACGGGTTCCCTAGTTCGAGGCTCTGTCCACGTTGAAGGGCCTGGGGTGGGATGTTTGGAGGTGCGGATGCTGGAGGCCTTCCAATGGAATTTGGGGCTACGCCTCCAACCGACGTGAGCATGCGCTTGAGAAATGGAACCGGGCATGGACCTTTCGGTTTGCTAAAGGGGAAACCCACAGTTGGAAGAGAAGGGAAAAGCTTCAGATGCGAGACTTCTGTCGAATTATGTGTGGTGATGGGCCCTTTAAGGGGCCAGGAGTATGATGTTCATTGGAGCGCCCCCACCCCCCAAGTGCCCAGAGCCATGGTATCTGAAATGCTGACAGATGGGCCAAAAGCAAAATCGATTTGGGTAGAAGGGTAAGGGACAGGACTTGAGAAGGCATTGGAAGGAAGTGTTTGAAGCGGTGCTTGCTGCTTGGCTGGCACATAATGCTGACCCAGGATTAATAAACCCCCCCCAATTAAAGCGCCTGGTTTTCCTGGAAAATCCCTCGCCAATACTCGTTTTAATTGAAACCCAGGAATTTGCCCTGGCACCCCCACAATAACAAAAAAATCACCCGAAACCCCCCCCTATTAAAGCTCCCCTCCCCCAAACCCCCCGCTACATCATGCGTTTTTAATCTAATTTTAACTTGCCCAACTTTTGCACATGCAACAGCAGCACCCCCCCATTAGTAAAGCCAACACCCCCCTATTAATCTACCATGTCCTTCCCTCACCTGACCTTCCCACAAGGTCCTGACCTTCCCACAAGGTTCCCTCACCTGACCTTCCCACAAGGTTCCCCCACCTGACCTTCCCACAAGGTCCTGACCTTCCCACAAGGTTCCCTCACCTGACCTTCCCACAAGGTCCTGACCTTCCCACAAGGCTCCCTCACCTGACCTTCCCACAAGGTTCCCTCACCTGACCTTCTCACAAGGTTCCCCCACCTGACCTTCCCACAAGGTCCTGACCTTCCCACAAGGTTCCCTCACCTGACCTTTCCACAAGGTCCTGACCTTCCCACAAGGTTCCCTCACCTGACACAAGGTCCTGACCTTCCCACAAGGTTCCCCCACCTGACCTTCCCACAAGGTCCTGACCTTCCCACAAGGTTCCCTCACCTGACCTTCCCACAAGGTCCTGACCTTCCCACAAGGTTCCCTCACCTGACCTTCCCACAAGGTTCCCTGACCTAACCTTTCCACAAGGTTCCCCTTCCCACTATTGGGGGGGGGCCCTCAAAAAAATGACAGACCTGACCTTGTGACCTTGAGGGGGGGGGGGGGGAGGGGGGGCCGGTTTATTAATCCAGGGTCTGCATTATGGGGCTGTCTCCAAATAAAGTAACCCCACAATGAGTTTCTTTTGCTTTTTCGTTTCAATCCCTTGCCATTTGGGTTTCCCCTGAAATTGTCGTGCATTTTTCCCCCTCGAATGGTGCTGCTGTTAGGTAGAAGTATGGAATTGTTTGCGAATGACTAGGTGTCTTTCTTTTGTGTTCCCCTTTCAACACCTCAAAGTGGTGGTCCGAGCCTCGACAAACACATCCCCACATTCTGAATGCCCACATGTCCAAATCCAAATCAACGAGTGAGTCTCCCGGTTTTATTTAGAGCCCCTAGGTCCCTCCCAAATGGACCATGGGTTACCCGTATTGAGGCTCAGTATATACCCGTTTCTGGTTGGTTTTCAAAGAACATGAATTGGAAAGCCACCGTTTGCGGCCCCCCCTGTGTCTTTTTGGAGGGTACCCTTCTGGGGTTCGAAAAGGAAACTCAAAGGACACCATTTGGGGAGCTCCACAAAATCAGGAGCCCAGCTGTCCGGAGTGCCGGGGTCCGCTGCAGCTGAGACGCCGCCCGGCCCTCAGTGACTCAGGACTCCATTTGGAATTCCATTCATCTTGGTGGCTCCCAGCCATCCCCTCAGCCTTTTAGCTGTTTAGTGTTTGGTGGTAGTTTCCATTTAACCCACTAAAGCTAAGCTTTTTGCGGGGGATCTGAGGGCAGCCCAACAATGCAAGGAGGGCGAAGCGGCCAAGGGCAACAATCTTTGCGACCCAGAAGCCTGACGCCAGACTCCAAAGCGGCCATCGTTTCAGTGGAACCCACAAGTCAATTTCGGCTTCTGAAGGGGAAATCATTGCCAGTGACCCCAGTTGGATTGGTGGTTTGGGTTGTGTGTTGTTCTTCCCGCAAACGGGAAACCACTCCTCCAAACCGCCAATCAAAAGCACCATTTATATATAGGGGAAGCCGAAATTAGAATGCGGCCCAAACTGGTTTATGGGCAAACAGAGCGGATACAATTGCCATCAGGGCCCACAGAATCAGAATGTGGGGTTGCGCGGTATTGGAAAACAACCAAATTAGATTCTTGATGATCCATTTGTGTAATTATTCAGCCCCGTGTAGTAGAATCGCTGGAGCAAATGCTTATGCCTTTTTGGTTTTCTTGCATTGTCCCACCGCACCTAAAAAATACTTGTTGCAGGGGGTCAGATTAGCCTGGCCCAGTAGGGATACATTGAGCCTGCTGGTCAGCAGGAAATAAATTGGAATGACCCAAACTGAACGATCCAGGCTCCCTAAGTTCTTTCCCAAGCCCCAGGTGAGTCTTTACTGGGATGATTTGGGAGTTAGCGAAGTGGTTACCATGGTTGCAAAGGATTGCTAAAGGGGCCAGTACGGCTCCCATTAGGCATCATATGATTTCAACATTGGGATTCGGACACCCCAAAAGGTTTGACTTCCCTTTAGCTTCTCGTATTCCGCCACTCCCTTGAAACATATCTTTGTTCGAAACAAACCTCCAAAAGGGTACCGAGCCTCAAACAATAACATACCCCTTTTTTGGCTGAGAATATCCGTGGGGAACAACCTCCAAAGTGGCTGGTGGACATGAATTGTCCACCAAGGTTGAATTCTCACCTAGTGATGTCCACCAAAGTGTCCCCAATCAGACATCATACCCATGTCCATCCGTCAGTTGGGAACCTTCAGGTACCCAACTGATCTCTCTTGAAACCAAGCCCAAAACAGGATACGGAGCCTGAAAACCGGCGACATACCTGTCTCTTGCTGAGGGCGGATCCAGGATTTCCTGCAGGAGCCTGCCAGTCGGGCACCGAGTTACCCACCGGAATCAGGTTGCCCCCAAGTGGTTTGGACCTCGGAGCCTCGGGGTCAGGTCATTCTTTGGGACCCTTCTCGCGAAAAAGTGGGGGGGGGGGGGGGGGTTCCAAAGTCAGCAGGGCATGTTTCCCTTCCACCTGCCAGGAAAAGGGGGTGACTTTGATAGTGGTAAAATCAAGGGGCCAGATAAACCACAAGGAACAAAAGGAGGCAGGTTTGGGGTTGGAAAAACAATTGCTCACCGAGCCCACTGAGTCTGGGGGTAAAGCGAGCGATTTCACCCATTAAGGTTTCTCACCCGCGGGATTCCCTTATTGGGTCGTGTCAACATAGGGTGAGCGGTTTTGTTCTTTGCTCTTGGATTCCCCTTTAAACAAACCTTTTGAGGGGGTACCTAAAGCACAAAAACCCATCTCCAGTTTGGGGATGTGCCGGCAGAAAAGCGACAAGAGGTCTTCTAAGAACCTGCCAACCGAAACACCTCAACCGGCCTTTTTGGCAGCTATCCTGAATTTGTTTTGGGGGTATTTTCACGGCATGTAACACTAGATGTCGACAAGCAAACAGGGGAACTCTATGATTTTCCCTGGAACTCTCTGACGTGTCCATGTCCTTGGAGGCATAGTGCCTCCGTGAAGACTTCAATCAGAAGCACATGCATCTTTGTTACCCGTTTTTAAAGACACTCTCCAGTCAACGGATCGAATGAAAGGCTGCGATCCTTGAGGCAGGTGGACGGTCAATTCTCGGGGTTTGCGACGTCACCCATCAGTGAAGGTTCTTTTCCTTCTGTAGCACTGGAAATCATTGAGCTAGCTCTGTCTAAGAACGCAAGCACATGCTTGTGACCTTTAAGACGAGCTGAGTGGAACAGCCGTCCTGTGTATTTTTACTTTTATTTTTCCGGGATCTTTTTCCGACGAGGGTGGTTGGGTTTAGTGTGGGTTTGGGGTCGGTTTTGGGGCGGGCTTATTGTGTGTACGCGGGTTTAGGGTTCAGGCTTCGTTTCGGGCTGGATTTAGTGTGGGTTTCGGGGCTTCGGGTGGTTTAGGGTGCGGTTGAGGTGGCGTTCTGGGGTTTGTTGGGGTGGGCTTGGGGTGGGCTGGGGCCAGTGCTGGCTAAAGTTGGTTGATTTCAGGGTTGGCTTGGATTGGTTTAGGGTGGGTTCTAGTAGGGGCTTAGATGGAGCTTGGGTTGGTGCTTGGATCGCTGCTTGGATGTGTCTCCAATTCGGATCAACTCCAAGATCGCAGCTGAATGAGGCCCGAAACTGGTACAAACATCCCTAGTACTGCACCTGCACAAAACAAGGCACACCCACGTGAGGCTATGTGCAACCAGCTCGAATCTTCCAAGCAACATGGCGCTCCAACAGCAATTTGCCGAGACTCAGTTTCCAAGAGGATATCTTCCCAACATTGCCCATGCACCGGCGTTGGTTTCAGAATTGGTTCAAACAACCAGGCCCTACCCCTTCAAAGGGGGAAGCAAAAGGAGTTCCTTTGAACCATGGATGTTTCAACAGGGGATTGGACCGACCTGCACGTGAACCAAACTGTGGACGGGGAATTGTTTGATTTTGCTTGGAACGGCGATCTCTGCCGCGTCTTGGACGACAGACCTTCTTTTTTGCAGTTTGGATGTAAAGCTCCTTTTCAAGGCATTGATTTTCACTCCCGCCCAGCGAAATCCCTGCAACAATCTGCCAAACGGCCAGAGCGTTCGTCCGGATTGTCCACCTGTGAGGCAAGCGGGCGCCGCAGCAAACGCAGGCCGTCAGCCTGTGCCGTCCGTGCCAAAAGCCTTGTACAAGAATAGATTGAACCCCCAAATTACAGTAGCTGCGGACCCCCTTTACTCTACCTGAAAAAAGACCCCAAGGTTTCCTTGAATCAACGATGGGGCTGATTGGTTTCCATACTTTCCCTGAAAAATACTCCCCAAAAGGGTGCCCTCAAAAGGACAAAGTTGTGTTGGTGTTGCGGGGCCCCGACCCAAGTGCGTTCGCTTTCGGCTCAAGAGAGAGCCGTTCCTTAACCTGGGATGCCAAAAGGGCGGCCAGCTGGGTGTGCAGGAAAGGGCCTGCGCGAGGAAATCCGAAGCTTTTGGGTTCCCCCCGCCCCCCCCCAGTTTGACGCATACCCTTCGGCGCTTCGGCGCCAGGCTGTGCGCCAAAACCCGACTCTTGGCAGGTCTTGAGGGAAGTGCTGGAGCGCGTGCCGGATGGCGACGAGTGGCAAGACGTCGACTGGTGCCAGGCTTCGGGGGGGGGGAACGCATTGGCAATTCTAGTAGCAATGCATAAGGCCCATACAAACCATTGGAACTGTGTTGGAAGAATGAACATGTCGGTTGGGTTTGGGTGCAGCTCAGGTGACTTCTAGGACAATAGCAGACTTCGCCAATCTTCCGTTTTTGCCCTTTTCATGTTCTTCTTTCTTCCCAGCTGAAGCCATGGGATCGCTGCCCGGAGCTTCAGGATGGTTTGCAGGGAGTGTTCCGGAGTCCATGGGGTTGCGGGGCTGTTCGGGGCCCTCTTGGGCTTGGGTACGGAGTTTGACTGGGCCCCCCATCTTTTGGGGTCCCGTGACTTTAAGACACACCCACATATACACACATAGGATGTCTCAAACTAGGGGGAACGATGGTTTTCCTGTTCGTCTCCCTTAAAGCCACCCCAATCATTTTTAAGGAATAAACAAATAAACACACACACACACACATCACATATATAGATAATATGTGTATATATATATATATATCCACATCTGCTTTCTATTTCAAGAGGGGGTTTATGTAGATGTATATACCCGCCTTTCCGCCAGGGAGGTTCGGGGTGTGAAAGAAAAAAACGGCGCCGCTGAGGTGGCGGGCTTTGCCGCCCTGGTGGCCGGCGGGCTGCTGGCTGCGGGCCTCTTTGCGGGGCTGCTGATCCAGGAGACGAGACGTTTCGGGGTGTCTCTTTTAAGGTTGGCCAAAGCAAGCTCGTGAGCTGAACTGAACCTGGCTCTCTTTTTTATAGGGGACCGCCCCAGACACAAAAAAACAACAAGAACTCCAAACAAAAGAGAGACACCAGACATTGCCAGGCGGAAGATGGGGGATTTTAGCCTTTAAAGGCGCCCTTAGCCTTTGGAGGTGTTTAGCTTTCTCACTGTCAGAGCCTGGGCTTGGATCCAGAATCTGGCCCCTTTGAGGGATCTCTGAGTGGGTAGCAGATTTCATCTTGGACAATGTTAAGCCGCGCGCGCCAACCTGGGAGTGCCGTTTAAGTCTCCCTGGGTGATTTGTGGGGAGTATCTTTTCAGGCGAGAGTTCGGAAGCATGTTTGCTTTGGGGTTTGGTCCAGGGCTTTGTGGGGAGATCTTTAAATCGATCGGTCCCGGAAAGCAACACATCACAAGTGAAAGGCGAGCTGGCCGATCCAGGGCGAAAAGAAGCGAAGCCCATGACAGTTCTTTACCGGTGGGTTCCCATTCCAGGTTGGATAAAAAGTGGGCCTTTCGAGGAAAGGAGCCCAATTTTGTGGTGAGAGAACAGAGAGGCAAACGGTTGTAACTCCAAAATGGTTGGCAGACACAAACTTGACCATGTTTTCAGGAATTTCACCGAAAGGTCCCCGATAGAACGTCAGACCTAAATGGGACAGGCCAAAGCTCGGGCGTTTCCGACCCCTAAAAACGGGGGAGGATTGTTCCACCCGGCTCATTAAAGGGCACGAAACTTTCAGGTTCATCTTAAAAGTTATGTGTGGAAAAGAAGGTGGGCCATAGCATCCTAATAGTGGGCATTTTCTTTTCGGTGGCTCGCCTTGCCGTGTCAATAAGTCAGCATTGGATTTTCAGACGTCCACAAGATGGGGGATTACCAGAGTCCGGAGGGTCGGATATGGGGAAAACCCATGGTTTCAAAGCCATTGCAAAAGGTAGGCTTCAGATTGCAGGCTTCCTCCCGCAGAAGATATTCAGCAGAACGCTTGCGCACCAGCAATTGGTTGAGTGTGTTTTTGGGCTGGTGCGTAAAACAGTGGGGGTGTCCTTTGGGAAACTCCACGGTGCATCCCCAAAAAAGTGAAGGAGAAATTGACTTGGCCATTTTGGGAGTCCAAATGGAGTTTTGATGGGACATGTGGCCAAATAGACACAGATGTACAACAGAAGCTATGTCAATTCAATTTGTAGAGGGTACCGGAAGGCTTTGGCGTGTTCCTTCCTTCTGATCCGTGCAGGACAAGAAGCGACAGGACCGGGACCGACAGGAGGGCTAGACGATGCAAGAATCGGACCCGAATACCATCGAATCTCAAGCCGGTTCTATGAGAAGGGCTGGGCCATGGTGCAAACATGTGCTTTCTAGGTTAGTTTGGTTAGACGTAGATGGGTTTGAACCATAAATGGTTTGAACCTTTTTGGTCGTCGAACAATGAGCACAAGGTCTGGTTCTTGCCACCTGCCCAACCCCGGGAGAGGCCGCCGAAGTCGGGGACCGGAGTGTGAATTGTTGTTTTATGATTCCTTTGGACCCGGTCAAGTGGCCGAATTACATCCACGGTGTCCAAACCATTCACAAGGGCAAAGCCAGGTTTTCTTTTTCAACGGCTTAAAGGGGGCAAATGACGCATCATCTTAGTATAAGGGGCCAGAAAATTATGCACAGTCGTCTATTAGACTCAATCTGGTTGTAAAGTCCTCCGCAACCTCGTTCAGATCATAGTACTCCTTCTGGTTTGTGGCGTAGTGCTGTGGAGGTGCGTGCAGGGACTTCCTTCTGATCATAATTGAGAGGAGGGGGGGTTGAAATCCAAGTGCTGGCCATAAGAGAATCCAGATCCCATTAGCAGGTGAGGGATCGGAACACAACGCGGTACCCGGCTGGTTTGCCGCTGCTTCCGGCTGCGCGGCAAATGTTTGCGCAGCTCAAAGGATTGGTATGCGCCAACTTGGACAGACGGCAGTGCCAATTCCGGAAAAAAAAAAAAAAAAAAAACGGTTCGCGCCCGGTGTTCAATGATCATCCACTTGAACAGGTGGACTTTTCGGACTTGGCTGCAACCGACTTTGAGAATGGCAAGTCGTACTGCGATTTGCGAGAGCATAATTTCATGCCTGAGCCTTACCCAAATGGCCGGCTGATTTCAGTCCGTGCCGAGGGATCTGAGATCCAGAAGAGCAACGGTCAATACTGATGTTCGGGGCCTCCTGCAACAGGTGCTTTTTCTTTTTTTAGGTGGACGAAACGTGGAACACCGATTCCTGGAGAGGTGGTTTGGGTTGGTGGTTTGGTGATTTGACACCCAGCACCTTTTGAAACGAAATGAGGAAGATATCCCCAGCATCCAAACCACCAAACCACAACACCAAGTAGAGGGAAACTGTACACCCCGGGCCGAGTTATTTACACTAACCGGGATGCTCTGCCTGTTGGCCCAACCGAACTCGCCCTATGACGGCATTGGCGTCAAACAACTGGCGGTTTCTCAACGAAATCCAATTCCATTTGAGGTCACCTGGATGTTTGACCGTGGCTCTTATTTCTTCAGACGTCAGATTTCAGACATTTCACCTGATCTGGCGGATTGCAATGCATGCAAGTTGCATGCCATGCTGAACGCACGGAAATCACTACTTGCCTGCAAATTCATTTGGAGCAAGCGGAGATCCCCCAAGGGAGATTCCTCTACAACTGGATCGTTTTTGTGGGTTATGATAAACTGCAGAGGAGTGACCCCTGCTGGTTTTTGGGGTAGAATCTGCAGGGCAACATGGAGGCGCGGCGCTTTGGCAAGAAAAAGGCCACCAATTCGGCGCTGCATCCAAGCCGTCCCTCCCACCTTGCGCACATCGCAAGGAAATTTCGAAATCACATGAAACGGTTCCGGGTGCGATGTTTTGCAGCCACTTGAACAGTCAAGACCAACTAAGAAATGAATGTGAGGTTTTTTTGAGCGTTAAACCATGAATGGGCTATTTTTGAAGGGACACCACCATGACATCTGCCCCCCCAAATTTTTGCGGGGCCGCGAAAAAGACTTGCTGGTTTTCGGCAGGGAATGAGGGAATGATCCCTATAAACCATCCATCCCATGGTTTCCTTTGAGGAATCCCCAAACGGTTCGTTCCCAACATCCGGGCTTGGTCATTCCCTGTTCTAATTGTTGATTCCCCATTCCTTTCAACCATCGTTCTTTTCAAAAACCAGCAATTTCCCTGGGATTTTGATGGTTTCCTGAAAAGAAGGATCCCTGGAAAGAATGGGGAAGGTCCCCTAGACCTATGGCACCAGCAAGAAAAAGACACCAGTTTTTGTTTCTTCCTCGAGAGCCGCGAATCGCGCCAGAGGTGCCATCGACCCCTCACAGCCGCTCGGATAAAGGTGACAGGTCTCCAGCTTGGGCTGCCAACGGCTCACCCAGGTGTTTCTTGAGGGTACCCTTTTCGACGTGGTTTCAAGTGACCAGAAGGACAGCCATCATTTTTGGGCTAGCCCCATTTTGAGACATACTCACCTTTTTTCAGCTTTTGCTTGGGCGTTTCTTGCTTTTGGACAGTTTCCCGGAGCAAGCCGCTTTTCAACTCTGCGCAGGTCAGAGTGGGGGTTTTGGGTGAAAGTAGATGGCGCTATGGTCCAAGCCGTTTCGGCTTAGTCCTCTTTGCTTCCAAGGGAATCGCGTCTACTTTTGCCCTGTAAGCTTTGTGACATGAAATCCCTGACGAGGAAAGGCTGGGTTGGGATTCTTCTTTGGCAGACAGGAGGTTAGCCAGCGCTCTGGCAAAATGGGTTCTGATTTTGCAAAGGGTGTTTCCAGAGGAGGAATCTAAATGGCGACGGTTTCCTTTTGGTTTGTCTTTAGCTGCCAAATGGGTGTCGATTTGACGTGGGTAGGGAGAACGCCTGTTTTGGTGTTTCTGTGGTCAGGAGGTGCCCTCGTTTCATCGACTTGGGTTGGGGTATATTCACCAAACTTGTAGCCTTGGGGGTGCTCCAAAAGTGGTCCAGAGTTCCCGTGGCGGACCACGCCCGCTGTTTTGGGTACGACCTCGCTATGCCCACTCGCTGCCAGCAGTATTATTCACGAACTTGACCGGGGGTAATGTTAAGAGAACCCCTGGTTGATTATTGGGGAGGTGCCCTCTTTTCGTGGAATCCTTCACTTTTGTGGGTACCACCCCCCAGTGGTGGATCCCATAACCAAAATCCCTTCTCCCTATTGATACATGCACCTTAAAAGTACTTCTCCTCCTAGAGAAAGTATCATTTGGGCTTCGGGGAACGGTCTACGGACAATTCGCGGGTTCCAAGCGTTTCCTTCCAAGGGTTCAGCCAGGTTGACCCATTGGGTCTCATCCATTGGATCTCGGCACTGACTTCAAGGGGACTTCTTCCAGTTAATTTGCCCAGATCGCATCTCAGTGGAAGTGAAGGTCAAACCCAGTCCATCTAGCCCAGCCCCCAATCCAGCCCAGGTTTCCCAGCCAAATGGGTGTGGGTCAAAAAAGGAAGTACCCAAAATGAAAGCCTGGCAAATGGGAAAATTGACTTCACCCTGCGGTTTATTTGGTGGTTTAATTCTGACCCATACCCCAATGTCTGGCGCTCTGGCTCCGGATCGGATCCCGCCCGCAGCGGAGCCAGTCGCCAGGTACGCGGCCACCTTGGTCCGCATCTTCGGAAGGCTGAAGCCTGGGGGCGCCCGGAAACTCAGTGAGCGAGGCGACTCTTAGACGCGGGTGAGGCGTTTAGGGCTTGTTTTTTTCGGGATGGATGGCACATGAGCAGGACTTGGTGACCTATTTTACCGCAAAACAACGAGCCGGCTCGAGGAAATGTAAGGTTTCCATGCGCCAGCCAGGCTTGTCCTACTCGAGATCACCTTGGAGCCCAAAGTGGGCTCCTTCAGGGGGTGAAGTTGGAAATCGGACACGTCGAGATGGGAAATGCGCAGCCTTCTTCCCTCGCCGGGAAACCAAAGGAAGCCGCTAGGTTCTACCCGCTTCTGAGGCATTGCATTGCTCCTGAGGCATTGCGGCATATCTATTTAAACCTAAGCTCTCCTTCCTTAGCGTTCCAACGGTTTTCATGTTCCTGCAGACGCCTTGTGGGGCTGAAACAAATGCTTGTCAATCATTACCTGTTTCAGTGTTGATGCCCTGCATCTTTTTCAAAACACGATCAGCTCGGTGGTGTCCAGCGTTCCATAAGGATTGCCAGGCGTGACTTAGAAGACTTCTTGGACATGGAGTTATGGGGGAGCATACGGCCACAGAGATACAGCAGTCACTTAGGCATGACTTTGTCGTTGGCCTGGGACGGCTCGAATCGAGCAAGCCTGGGGTTCGAACCCCGAGGTTTTGGCCCCAATATGTTCAAACCTGGCCAAGCAAAAGGGACAGACCTGGAAGGTTCTGAGGGTGATACTGAATGAGGAGGAAGCTACCGCAACCCGTTCTTTTGCCAGAATGGGGTGATTTCTTGATTCACATGCTTCTCACTCGGCTTGCAAAGGGCAAGAGGCCTTAGGGATGGTCATGAATCCTTTAGGGATTTGAGCCAGCAATTGTATGACGATCATCTTAGATGGTATCTACAAAGACCACGATTGTAAGGGTTCCACAAAGATGGTTTTGCATTTAAGACAACAGTCTTTTTTTTGAACCCAATCGTCAACGATAAAGAAAGGGCGAGCGCTCAGATGGTCCTGGTCCGCGACTACGGGCGCGGGGATTTGGCGCAGCTGGGGAGCTTGGCTTCGATTTGGAGATTGAGCGGTCTCTGACCCCGCGCCACCAAAGCTCATACACACATATGTACACATGTGTGTATATATATATATATTGTATTGTATTGTATAGATGTGTATTATATATATATATAATACAATATACACACATACTTTCTTCTTTTTTTTTTATCGACTTTGGTTGGTTTTAAAGGGAAGCGGAAAGAAAAACAGCCAAGCCGTTTCGCAGGTTGTCTGATTTTGCGATACACTGGGGAGCTTTCCTTCCAGGTTTCCTTTTTGGGGGCATTCCTTCAGAAACTGACTGGTGTAGGGCCACATGTACCAAGTGAACACATCTTTGACCTTCACAAGGACACTTGTGCAACGACTTCCTTAGGTTGCGCTTCAGCGCGGGCCACTGGCTGGGCGGCGACCGCTACGTCCGCGGCGATGGCGCGGGGCGCTTTCGTCGTGGCACTCTCATTTCCAGCTCTTTTTCCACAACGCGCAGGTGAACCACAATCCAGCACCCGGTAAGACTTTTAAGA